AATACATAGCATTGAGAAATATAGAGAAAGTATCCTCAATACAGAGAGATAGAGTTCTGAGGATTGTTCATTTGTGTTTAACTTAAATAGGAAAAAAAATACATGTGAAAGACCTGAGACTGTAGACTACAGATGCCAAATTATGTAGCTGTGCTTTATGCTCTTACCACCCTTAACCTAGAAATAAGAAAAATAGAAATTATTCTTGAAGGAATAATCTTAAAATAACCAGCTAAAAATGTATCAACAGCGACAAAAATTGTAATTTCTGCTCATTAAGTAAGCTTGTATGGGTAAACATTACCTAAGTTCCTTGATTCATGGTATAGTGTATTCTAACTCAAATTTGCCATCCACCAAAAAATAAACTGTGATCAACATATAAAAATTAGTTTCTATACACTATCAATGAATATGAAAATGAAACTACAAAAACAAGTCCACTGACAATAGTATCTAAAGGAATAGAATATTTAGGCATAAATTTAATCAAAGAAGCATAAAGACTATACACTGAAAATTAAAAATCATGGTTAAAAGAAATTAAAGAAGATCTAAATAAATGGAAAGACAAGTCTATGTTCAGTGATTGGAAGACTTAATGTTGCTAGGATGACAATACACTCGAAATGGAGTTACAGATTCAGTGCAATTCCTCTCAAATTTCCAACAGTTTATTTTGCAGAAATGGATAAGCTGTTGCTAAAACTCATATGGAAATGTAAGGAACCCTAAATACCAAAACAAAATTGAAAAAGAATAAAACTGGCAGACTGATACTTACCAACTTCAAAATTTTCTACAAAGCTACAGTAATCAAGACTGTGTGGTACTGGCATAAGGACAGACATAAGCCAATGGAATAGAATCAAGAGTCCAAAAACAAACCCAAACATATATGGTCAAGTAGTTTTCAACAAGGGTGCTAAAACAATAAGGAAAAGGTTTTTTTTTCAACACATAGTGCTGGGACAACTGGATATCCACATGCAAAAGAATGAAGTTAAACTCCTACACCTCACATCATATACAAAAATTAATCCAAGATATAAACGTTAAGAGCTAAAACTATAAAGTTCTTAGAAGAAAACATAGATGTAAACCTGCATGTTTTTTGATTAAGCAATGGTTTCTTAGATATGACAACTAAAGCACAACCAACCAAAAGAAAAAAATAAATTAGATTTCATCAAAAGTAAAAACTTTTGCAATGCAAACGACACCATCAAAAAAGTGAAACAACAAACCACAAAATGGGAGAAAATATTTGCAAATCATGTATCTGATAAGGGACTTGTATCTGAAATATGTAAAGAACTCTTACAACTCAACTTTGACCTGGGCAATTAAACTGACATAATCAGGTCTTTATATATAGTTTCCCTTCCTATGAGAGAGAGTGAACTTTGTAATAAACCTTACTAAGAGGCCCTCAGTACCACTGAAAGTAGTAACTCTTCCAAGAAAACTTTGTTAGTATTCTTCCCTTCTGATCTATTTGTTCACAATCCAGTAGAATGCTTAGGATTGTACGTTCCATTACTCTTACAGTTTTGCCTTCTCTTTGATTACTTGGCTGCACAGGTCATGAGTGCTTTGATCTACATAGAGACAAATTATTCCTTAACATTGTCAGATAATTGCAAACTAAGGGGAGCGAGCTTGCCTCAGAATGCTTTTAAAGGAAAGACCACCACGGTAATGTCAGATTTAATTCTAATATGCTTCTTGTATACAGTAGCTGAGAGAATCAAATACCAAACAAAGACTGACTTTGCTATTAAGTTGATCATATAACTATACATGTACCAAAAATTAACTTACTGTTTTACCGTTTCCTTGAGGAAAATCTAGTTTTAAATAACTTTGTGATTACCTAATGGAAACCATTCTTCTCAGTTTTAAGAAAATTTGTTTTCTAGCCAGAGTTAACCAATAACTCACAGATGTAATTGTTACTAAGGAAATAAATAACAAATAGGCAAAAACTGGTGGTTAAAAACCCAGTAAAAGTATATTCTTTCATTTATAAATCAAAGAAATAGTCATGAAGTACTTCTTATGCCTCTAAAAATAGACTCAGCCAAGTCTTTGAAATATTTTCTTGTGAGAATAGTGTTCAAATGAAACTTCTCAGAGAATACTGTTATTTCTACTGTTGCTGACATATATAAGTAAAACTCTGAGGATTTGTTTTAAAAAGTTTTATGATATGTGCCAACCACATGCCAAAAAGTTATCCCACTTTGATATCCAACTCTATGAAAAACCTAGTTACAATTCCATCATAAACATATATGATACTTCAGTTTTCAAAGTGCTTTCACATATTTATTTGATAAAGCACCAGGCTGTTTACCATATAGTAAAAATAGCAGCTCCTCCACCCCAATTTATTAAATAATTACTTTGAGTTACATTTGAAAAATAAGATTTTGATGTCAAATACAAGGGAGTGATTCATAACTTGTTTTTTTTTTCCCAGAGAAAAGTCTGGGGTAAAAAGTCTGGTATTTTAGAAAATATCATTATTTAATGTATTTATTCCATTAATAAGATTATAACCTGGGTCATTCTGGTCATGTTCTAGTCATGTCTTACAACCAGTGACACCTGGTATAGCTGGGAAATTGTCTAGTAAAACTAATAGGCTTAGTTCCAGGCTTCGAATGGAATAATTCAGAGGCTGCCCAATGCTAACCCCTACCCCCAGGTAATGAGAATTTCAAAAAGAGATTGGCTCCTCAGTATAAAAATGCCTTGCCATGTTCCCACTCTTCCCATCTAGAAAAGAGAAATCATGCTAGAAAATAAGAAAACTTTGATACTTTTTATACTTATAAATGATCAGAATTATACATCAATTGAATTGAGATTAACTCCTCACTCCTTTTCAAGGTGGATAGTGAAATACCACTGCAGGCCACAAACAAAAATGAATAGCATCAATTCAGCCTCTCAAGGCAGACCAGTAGCTGCTGGTTTGTAATCATGAATGGAAGTCTTTTATCCAGGTTTTTCGGTAGAAATATTCAGGAATACTCTAGCAGAGAGAAAAATTAAGCAAAATGGTTAAGTATTGTTTATAAAGATAAAACCTGTCAGTTAATGCCTACAATGTTTGTTTTGGCATGCTATTTGTGGTCTTCAATGGTAAAATAAGTCCTATTTGGTTTATGTTATGGCTGTTGGAATTTATCCAATACTACTGTTTCTTATAATTCTATTGAATGGCTCCACAATTTCTGTTCGAATTCTGTCTAGAGCAACTTCTTTTCATGTAATCCTGAATTAATAGTAATCATAGGAAACCAGTATAAAAACTGGGGTGTATACTTTCAAATGGCAAAATCAGTACTAACTAGTATTCTTTAGGGTTTAGAGACAGCCGAAGATCGAAGTTGTTTCAGTGCTGTTGCCAGAGAAATATATTCACTCAAAATATCTCTGAAAATTCTTTGCTGACTATGGAATACTTTAAAATAAACATCTTTATCTCCTGTTCTTATCGCAGCAATTTGAATCCTGGAACATTGTGGGGAATGAGGGGTAAGTAAAGCTATAATTTGGCTGTAATTTGTTGTTAGTACTTGGAGAGGGGGTCGGGGTCAGAGAAATGGTTTTTTTAAAAGGCCCTTCAGATTAAATAATTCTAATGTTTATCACTTTGGACTTGAAAAATTATACCTTGCTTCGTCTATACTGTAATGTTTGAAAACACAGTAATACCGTATATGAATATTATTTCAAAATATATTTTTGTTATGCTTTAATTACACAAGTATTAACTAATGAATATAGTTTTAAATTTCTAACAATCCTACGTATAAATTTTTTAATGTTTAGTTTTCTACTCTTTTGTTGTAAGTAGTTTTGTTCCTTGGCATATAAGGATCTTGCTCATTATAACAAAGTTTGTGAGATTGTTGTATTTTTCTTTTAAAGTACCATAGAGATAACTAATTCAGTAGATGTGTGTGTGAGAATTTGCCAGTAGAACATAATACCTAAGTCTAAGTCAATATATTTGGGTTCGGTTAAGTTACACTGCTAACATTTCATATAGTGGCAATTGTTAATTTATTGTGGAAATCCCTAGAAAATATAAAAAGAGAAAAGAACTATGTAGAATATCAAAAGCCAGTATCATAACATCAAGTTTTCTTGAGCTTTCTAGAACTTTTCGTTCTAATTACCTCCACGTTGGGATGAACATGAAGGCCGTTATAAAAATCAAACACCATTCCAATATGTGGTACCATGTATGAACTGCATTCCAAGAGCAAGGAATGGAAGTAGTCACCCCTAGAACCAAGAATAAGGGGTGCATTGTTTGTAGAGAATTTAAAAGCAATAAAACTTATGAAAAATCATCTGCTTTTTATTTTCAGCATGAAGGTAAACAATGACAGTGATAGAATACTCCTCTCCATTGGGCAGATTCTCCTACTACCTCACCCTTTGAACACTACTGCCCATGTTAGCTCAAAAATACTACATATCCAATGCATTTGAAATATTTATTGTAGAAGGATCTCATTTCCACCTTTATTTTCAATTTTTTAAAGTATAAATGTTTTAAAGTATAAATGTAGAAGAATGTGTTAATGAAGGCAGCTCATAGCCTGTTATAACTTTAAATGTAAAATATACATAATGAATATTTTTTAAAATTCCAGTGAAATTCATAGAGGACTTGTGGACATGAGCTTACAGACATTGTAGTCATTGAGCTTTCATATGTTGATAATCCAGTGTTTTAAAAAGTCACAAGTATGTTACTAAAGAAATAACTGAAAGAGCAAAACATGTCACATTTGCATTTAATGCATGAGAATTTATGTTGACTATAGAACCAAACTCCTACTAAGGATTTAATTCCTTAGCAATTCATTCTAAAACTTAGTATTAGACCTTTATATGTATATATACATATATATATATATACATGCATATATACATATATAAATATGTATAGATAAAAGAAACCCATTCTTAAATAAGGATTTATCACTTTATTGACTTGGACTAATAGAAACAAGCCAATTGCTAGTGGCAATAAAGTCCACATTATTGAAGATCATAGGTATATTAGCTAATTCCTTGGACCCTGATTTCATGAGGATATGAAGAACTGAGGGACTAAAAAAACAAACAAAACAAAAAATGAACAAAAAACATTAGCAAAAGAAAACAAGCATTAAAGCACAAAAGCACCTTCATTGATACTCTCACTGCCTATAGTTGCCCATATTTATAGCATTCTGCAATACTATTATCTATAATACTCTGGAGTTAGGGAAGGAATTAGTACTTTTTGAAGGCAAACATGTTTCTTTTCAAATGCTCTGTTATGGTGGGGAAAAAAAAGCCATAATGAACAGAAAAAGAAAACCACAAACAATTTTATAAACATGCAAAAAGGTAATGACAAAATGTTCAGACTAAGAAAAGCATGTGAAACAATAAAATTTATTAGTAGTATATGTAAAAAATAATTTTACTTGCCTTGGAGAGATGACTTAATTTTTCTTTCTTTTGTGAGGACACTGACTAGAATGAGAAGAGGTTCACTTCCAGAATATATTATTCATATATTATTTATATGTGTTTGTATATGTATATGAACCCTATCATAGATATAAAGGATATATGTATAACCAGAAGGAAGAAAAAAAACTGTATCTTTGTTATTTAGAAGTCAGTTCACATTTGCATTATCAAATCTAATCACTGTTGGTTTGATAGAAATTTTTTAACTTTTTTAGTGAGTTGGCTTTCAGAAAATGTGTTTATATTTTCACAGGTAAAATAAATATATGTCAATTTCCTGGAGAAGCAGGATTCCAGTGTCAGAATATATTCTTACATCAATTATTTCTAAATCATTTCTTAATCTTATAAAGAATTTACAGTTAGGACCTTCATTAATAAATATGTATTTATTAATAAATAAATAATTGCTATGCTTTGTTAAGGCACTGGCCTTTGGCTAGTATATATTTATAAACACATTATATATGATATACATTAAATATATATCATACAAACCAAGACAAAAAGAGGAAACTTGCTTAAAACCAAGATCTGACTTGAAATAGCCCCTGATAAAAATAAAATATCCACTGTAGTTTGTAAATTCATTGTGTGAAGAAATTTCTCAGTATCGATGTTATAAATTATGGTTCAGTTCCCAGATGGATACATAGAATTCTATTTAACCCATAATTTAAATGAATTTTAGTACCATGCTTACAAGATATAGAAACTATTCATCAATTTAGAAGTTTGTTTTGGTTTGGTTTTCTTTTCCTATAGGAACTGGTTTTTAGCAGTGGGACCAAGGAACCCTACTACCTAAGAGCTAGAAACTACAAAAAGAAAATATTAGGCTTTGAGCACAGGGTGACAGTCTGGGTCTTAGGTAAGATGGTCAGGGTCAACAGCAACAGATAAAAGGACAAAAAAAAAATTAGTAGTAGCATCAAATAAGAAAATAACGGGAGTCAGCAAGGAAATAGGTGACTAATTGAGTAGGCATCCATAAGTCAGGGTGGTTTTGCTACTAGCCCCACCCAAACATTAATTAATTTAAGAAATAACTTTATTTAACAAGTGAAAGTTTGGAAAAGTAACAAAAATAACAAGTAAAAAAAAAAATACAAAATAGCTCCAGTCATCATAGGCGATGTTTTTTCTGATTGACAAATATGATGCAAAAGTACAAACTGTGTGCAGGGCAAATCGATGTTTAGTTCTTAATTTCAAATGAAGTTTATATTATATAATAATGTTTAGATCAAAAGATACTGAAGAAAAATTTTCATTTACATATTTACAGCCCCAATATAGTCTGGCCTGCCTGTGTGCAAAGCCTGACTAAGCAGGTTGTAGAGAAAAATCTCAGATTAAGCCCATCAGATTATGAGCTAAAGCTCCACTGGCTAGATGTCAAGCTTTACAGGTGTACTCCATGGGACCATATATCTTTTCCTTGAAATGGTAAAATGCTTTAGTTTTATTCTATTATTGTTTCCCCGTTCCATAGAATTATATTCCTTTCTTCCATTTTTAGTAGCATAGAGATATGTTGAAGGCAGGGCAGGAGAGAGATGAAAATTTATATTCTACAATATCAGCAAACTAATAATATAATATTCTAAAAACAATTCCAGAAAAAGAACACAGGCCATGTTTAAAATATCAAGATCACCAACTTCTGTAAGCTCTGAGGACCATAAATTAACCTTAATCCATAAACCTGGCCAGTTAGTTGCCTTAGCCCAGAGACTGCATTTTGACACAATTTTTCAGCTGTACCAAAACATATGCAGGAGGTGACTCTCCCTCTGATATAAGCAATATTTAACTGAATCTTTTAAAAATAATGTATACTTGTATTTAAGAATAACTTATAAGATATAATTATTGCATCATAACATACTATAAAATATACTTTATAATATGCTTTTACATTAAATAATAATATATATTTGATGGATATTTAGTTTATTATTCTACTGTTAGTCTTGTTCTTCAAATATGCCTGGAAAAGAATTTTGGGAAAATTTATAAGTGGAAATTTTTAAATGTTAAAACTATCAAGTATAGTATAGTATTGGAAAATGTGTTTGGTTATTATGGAAATGCAAATTAAAACTCCCCAAATGTACTAGAGAAGATATACACATCTAAAATGTACGAAAGGATGGGGGATTTCTTTCTCCACTTCTTCCTTTATCTTGAGGGAAGAACTAGTGAGCTTAAGCTTTAATTTTTAACAGGTTAGAAAAAGGAATCTTACACATTTCTAAATTAAAAGTTTCATGAGTAACTATCTAAGTTTTTAAGTCACTCTGTTTTCTAGCTACTTCAATGGAATCAGCAGCCATAGATCCAACACCAACTCCAAGACTGGAACGTCGTAATGAGAGTTCCACGGCAGAAATCTGACGTAACTCTTTGCGACACAACTTTACAGGTGTGACACCATGAATCTGTCCCACATTTCCCACTGGCTGAATTTGGGGTGATGTGCAACTGTGAGTTTTTGTAATCTGATTTTCATCTGCTTCTGTTTTATCCTCATTGCTTAACAAATGCCCACTAGTGGGTGCTAAAGAGCTATAAATTGGAGGTAATTCTGGGCCATCTTCCCAGAGCTTCTGAGGATTTCGTTGTGTTCTTAAACTACTTGCTGAACTGTTTAATTCTCTTTCTTTTCCACTTAACTTCATACTTTCAGTTTTAGATGCCCATTTTAATTCTTCTGAAACCGTGCCTGCTTCTTCTGGGTTCAGGACTCCATCTCCAACATAATGATCTAAAAATAATCCAAAAAGAAAAAAAAAAATTAGAGATTTCCTCAAACGCAGGTATTTTAATCATGATATCCTAACATAACTATATTATCACTCAATATAAATTGTCTTTCAGCTTTGTTAAATGACTTCTTTTAGACAGAAGTATAAATATGAATTGTTCTTATTTTACTTAGAAGAATCTTGCATGGGAATAACTAAGAACTTCTCATTGCTGGAACAAAGTTGAAAAATATTCTTGTAGTGATTTTTGTACTCCCTGGAAACACAGGAGTGCTTTAGGCCTCTCTGGTGCCCTTCCACACCTGCCCTCCACTGGGCTTGCCACTGGTGAATTACTTTCCAAATCCAAAGCCAGCACTGGAAAATATTTGCTCTGCCCATATCTCCAATGACTCTTCTGGGATTTGGCATTATATGTGTGAAAAACTAGTCTTTGTAGGCACTCCTAGCATGATAGCAGGGTTCTGCTCTCTGAATGTACTCTGGGATTCCACCGTCAAAATGGAGATGGGAGCATAATAGCCCTTCAGTGGGAGACACCCTGCTGGAACAAGCTTGAGGTCCTTAAATCATAGGATCATCTAATAGAAAAGGCAAAGACTTGCTTTAGGGAAGTCCATATAGGTACTGTTCCTAATATAGTGAAAAATGCCAACTTTAACATATGTTGAAACATGATTGATAATATACTTCTGGTCCTACAAATACCAAGTTTGAAAACATAAGTTGCACAGTGGCAGCTCCCAAGCGAAATCTGGCCCACAGACAGGTTTTACTTAGCCTGGTTTTACTTACATAAAATAATACATGGCCCGAAATTTAAAAATTGGAAAGTTTCATATAAAAATATAGTCTTCCAACATTACTAGAAAAAATGAGAACTGACCATTTCCACCTGGCAACAGCAGCTGGAGCAGAGTTGTCCCTGCCCATTGAGATGACTAGGCTCTGCTCCTCACTGTGGCTTCCCTGGCTCTTGCAGGCATTTTAGTTTGTGGCCCCTGCTTTAACACATAATTGATGTTCTAGTTTTTAAAATTCTCTCACAAACGAAAAACCTGAACCAGCAAATGACATGGATCCTCACACAGAACCAGTGGCTCCTCACAAAGCTGACCATAGACAGTGGCTCCCAAACTGCTGCTCATTACACCAAGAAGCTTTAAAAAATCCTGATGCCCAGGGAGCAATGTCTGGAGGAGGGAGCCAGGCATCTTATTTTTTAAAGATCATATGTGAAAGAGCACAGATGGGCTCATTGGACTGGCTCACACCCAAGCCCACTTGGATTCTTCACAATACAAATACCTCTGCATTTCCTTTTCCAGAATTTTACCATTAGGGAACAAACTGGAGAAAGATTAATTCACCCGAGGTCACACTACTAATAAAAGAAGTCAGGATTCCAACCTAGATCTTCTGACTCTAGTATACTCACACAGAATTTTATAGTGGTTTAAAAAGATAAAGGATAGAGTTTTAAATACTTAAGTGCATAAACTGTGTGTTCATAGAAACTGATTTTATCCTCAAAAAATATGTTAGAAAACAGACACACTGTAACAGAGGCATGACCAAGAAGTGACCAACATGTATTGGTCAAAAGATTAATTTTTCTACATATGAAAATGCTAACAACACTCAAAGAATATAAATACAAGTCTGGTAGGCAGACAATGAAAAGACTACTATCAAAAACCAATTAACTGAATATCAAGACAGTTATATATTAACTAGGATACTATTAAGCATATAATACTTTTCAGGAAACTCAATTCAAAATATTTAAATTGCTATAGTTTATAAGTCAAACAAATTCTTGTTTCATGTCATATTAGAGTAACATTTTGAGATATAATACAAGCTATATCCCCAATATGATTCCAACTAATCTTTTTTAAAGCATGGGGAAAATATTGAAAAGAATTATAACAAATGTTAATACTTATGAGTGGGATTATAGGTGGTATTTCTTCTACATTTTCAAAATTTTCTAAATATACATTACTTTTTATAGCCCCCAAATAAAAGTATTTAAGATGTTTTTAGGTGGAATACAAATTAGCTGAAATAATCAAGACTATTATCAAGGCTAGACTTCCCAAGTAAGTTGCTAAAATGGATGTAATTATCACTTTATACATCTCTAAGATTATTTAACTTTCTTAGAGAGCTTTTCGTGTTTCCTTAAAGAGCAGGATGAGAATCCAGGTTTCTTAAATCTGTACACCACCACACCACACTGTCATTTTAAGAGATGTCTAGAAGACTCTGTAGTATAAACACGGGCCATTTAAACACTAGATATCTAATTTCAGATATCTCAAATTTGAAAGTGGGTTTCTTTAAGCTAAAATGGAAATGAAAAGAAAATGTTCTGTTTCCTACTTAATACCTCTGCATTACTACATTGAAAATCAGAAAGTTTAGTCTCTTGGCTGGATTTGTATATTTTTATCTCTATCCTAAGACAACTTTTATCATAGAATATTGGACCAGGAGTCAAAGACGAAGGACCTTAGACCATGTTCTTTTATTTACTCTTATTTTTATTAAATGTATTGGGGTGATGTTGGTTAAAAATATCATATAGGTTGCAAGTGTACGATTCAGTAATACATCATCTGTATATTGCATTGTGTTCACCTCCCAAAGTCAAATCTCCTTCCATCACCATCTTTGACCCCCTTTACCCTTATCTCCCTCCTCCCTGACTCCTTTCCCTCTGGTAACCACCAAACTGTTGTCTGTGTATATGAGTTTTTGTTTGTCTTGTTCATTTGTTGCTTTCAGTTTTATAGCCCACATATTAGTAAAATGCTTAGCATAATAATCTCGAGATCTATTCATGTTGTCACAAATGGCAGTATTTCATCTTTTCTTATGGCTGAGTAATATTCCATTGTATATATGTACTACATCTTCTTTATCCAGTCATCTATCGAAGAACACTTTGGCTGTTTCCATGTCTTGGCCACTGTGAATAATGCTACAATGAACATTGGGGTGCATGTATCTTTACGAATAAATGTTTTCAAACTTTTGGGTATGTACCCAGAAGAGGAATTGCTGTAATTCTAGTCTTAATTTTTAAGGAACCCCCAAACTGTTTTCCATAGTGACTATACAAATTTACATTCTCACCAGCAGTGTATGAGGGTTTCTTTTTCCCCACAATCTCTCTAATACTTGATAGCCATTCTAGCAGGTGTAAGGTGGTATCTCATTGTGATTTTGATTTTCATTTCCCTAATAGCTAGTGAAATTGAGCATCTTTTCACTTGTCTGTTGGCTATTTGTGTGTCTTCTTGGGAGAAGTGTCTGGTCAGGTCCTCTGCCCATTTTTTAATTGGATTATTTTTCGTTGTTGAGTTGTATGAGTTCTTTTTATATTTTGGATATTAGGCCCTTATTGGGGGCATTGTTTGCAAATGTCTTCTTCCATTCAGAAGGTTACCTCTTTGTTTTGCTGACGGTTTCTTTCGCTGTGCAAAAGCTTTTTAGACCATGTTCTAATTACTGTTCTGTGCATGAGTCACTTGACTTCTCTAAATTTCAATTCCTTCATCTAAACATGGGATTAGCAGACACTGGCCTACCTTGAGTTTGATGGTTAAATGGAACTACTTGTGAAAATGTCTATTAATTATAAATATCATAAGAATAAGGTAGCATTAGAACTACTTTTCTAAGTTTAAAATTTTTTAATTATGTTAATTCTGCGTACTTTATATATTCAGTATATATCTCTTCATTACACATACATATAAATTTTCACTGGTCTCTTTACAATACTGTTGTACCTTAAGCAGTTTTCTCTACCAATACAAAATAGCTATGTTCTAAAAGGCTGTAAAGTCAAAGTCTCATAAGCCATACTTAAATTATTAGAAGAATATTTTCTCTAAAGGATGGCTAATTCTTTTATAAAATGTAGAAAATATTTAGAAATATTTATTCCTCTCTAATTGGTGGGCCTAAAGAGGGTATATTTTAATTATGGCACTTTTTACTTTTGCAAAGTATTTTGTCACAATTTGGCATTTAGGAAAGTGTTACTTCTACATATCTACATATAATTAGGCAAGAAAACATCTTTTGTCTTAACAATGGGTTTTATTATATTTTTGAATTTCCAGAGGTCATGATATGAAAAAGACCTGACTGATCTTAGACATACATACAATATTATTTTATCTCTACTTTTACTATACTCCATTTATTTTACACATTTTTTTGTGATAATCAGAAAGCTTAATTTTCTATAGAATAGGAAAAACACAGCTTAGATTAGAGGGTCAAGCCCATGGCACATGGCAGGCAATCAATGTGTGGTTTCCTTCACACATATACATTTGTTCATTCACTTCTATGGTTCTGTCTTATACGTAAACTAGAGAACTATTGTTGTTTACTGAGACAAATAGAAGATAAAATCTAATCCTAAATAACCAAATCAATTGGGAAAGGCTAAACTACAAATCAGGAAAGACTTCATCAAGTACTAGAGAAACAGTGTTAGCATGACAAGTAGCACTAAATATCTTACGTTCAGATGGTACTAGTTGCCTTCGAATTGCTTCCCCTAACAGTTCCTTAAGTTTCTTCTTAAGATCTCTGCTAGTTTTCTTATAGAAATAAAGATCTTTTTCCAGCTGTTGGATTTTATCTTCATATGTCTTTAAAGTTTCCACGATGCCTTCCCCATCTTGCTCTATAAAACAAAAATTTACATTTAAAATCAGTTTAAAAGAAATAATTGAAAATTATGTTCTAACATAGACCTCAGACTATGTTTAAAGGGTCAGAAGTACGTTATATGTACCTGTTACCTGAATGGATTTGTTTTCAGCTAAAATTTGGATTCTTCTACTTGTAAAAATTTTCAAAGTAGGATTGATCCCTTAGTCACCTTCTTTACCTTACCCCCTACTGACTACTACATCGTTATGATTCACAAGCACTTTCTGAGTAGCTACTAACTAGATTTATCCTTAAAACAGCAGAAGTAAAGTGTTTTCTATAAAAAGTTCACATTTGGAACTCTGTCCATCAGCTGAATCAGTATCTTAAAGTTTATATAAGGAACAGTGGGTATATGAAAAGTCATTTGAAGAAATATAAAACCAAAAAAATTCCCCCCAAAACAAAACCTGTCATATGAGGCTAGAAAGATTAAACTACAAAGAACACCACACACACAAAAAAAAGGAGCAAAGGGGAAATAGCGTAAGTAAGGTTCTAATTTATGCTACAACGTAAGTTAAAGCTTCTAATTAATATTTATGATTGTCTAAAACTGCCTATATTGGGCTATATTCTAGAACCAGCAAAACCTAGTAACCTTCAGAAAATAAGTACTTTCAGACCTACTGTTTCCTATTGATAAATTTATAAAATTGTCCTACTGGTTTGTAATTTTTGTTATAATTGGCTATTTTATAAAATTTGATCTAAGTATACTAATATATTTAAAATTAGCCCATCATCTTGTTAAAAAAAACACTTCAAATTAAACATCATAAATCAGAATCCCCATCAAGGATATCAAATAAATCAACTTAATTTTATATCCTATATTTAGTTAAAATTAGAAAATTCACAAGCTAATATTTTTAGTTAGAACTTTGTTATGAAAAATTTGTCCCAGCTTTAGAAATGATTTTTAAAATGTTCTCATTTGGTTATAGTATGGGCTTTTCTGGCACAATGAAAGTCACTTGAAAAATACACTAATAATTCTATTAAAATATTGCTTTTAGAGACTTAAGGCAAAACTAAAATAAGGTAAGCAGAGCATGTTTGATGAAATGATGTATGTAATCTTGTCATTGGGCAACTAGATGCTAATTAACTGGTTATAGAATTAACTTATAGAATTGCCTCAACACTCAAATTCATATGTTTTCCAATTTTCTGCTTACTCAGGTTGCTACTTCCGTATCTCTTTTAACCCATTTCCAGCTATACAGTCATGAGAATCAAGACTAAGCAGCTAAGCAGCCTCTATTGAAGCATTAACAGTATTGGCTGGCAGTGATTTTGTTGCCATAGCAACTGTTTGTATACTAGCCATATGCCCAGGTAATGAGACCACTGACTGCTATGACAGCTCTTTCCACACCAGAGTCATGGTTGAACTACTGTGCACTAATAACAGTATGTGCCCATTAATGATAGATTAATTTTGACCTAAGATATAATATTAATGCATAAAAGTTACAGTCAACTGAAAAATTATAATAAGAAATAGAACTAGAAATCTGATAGATCTTATCACTTTAATTTTATGAAGGGAAAGTAATTTAAATAGCAAGGTACTATATCCTTATGAGATAGAAACTTTTCAACTGTATACAACAAAGCCAGAAGTCACCCCACATCTCTACATAAAAACTAGGCCAACAACAAACTAATGGGATTTACAGCAGCCCCTTTTATGGCACTGGGAACAAGCAGAAGAGGTGACATTTCAAGCATGAATAGCCTTAATCAAAGTCAACTATCCCAATTTGTGGTAACCAAAACATGTAAAGCACAAAAATACGTAGAAATAGTAACTATATATGGTGGGCTTTTAAGTGATCAAATTCTGTCTGATCTTCCTTCCCAAATCCCCTTCCTACACATCATCTATAGAATTGACAATAGGGCAGGTACCTTGGAAATGATGTAATAGTAACTGCATTTTTTGCTCATGTTCCTTTTGCTGGAGGGTCAGTCTTCGGTCACATTGCAATTTCAGATGCTCCAGTGCAGATTCTAACTCACGAACCACATTATCCCGTTCCAGAATCTTCATTTTAATTTCTTTATTCTGTAACTGTAGTTTCCGTTCAGCTTCTCGCAAATTAACCACCTGGCAAATACATTTTTTGACCTTTTCAGAGTGTCTTAGATAGCCTAATATGGATATATCTACTTCTATTAGGCTACATGAAATGAACTTCCTTAGCCACCACGGTATAACCACGGTACAAGGCAAATGCTTTGTAACATACCTACAAAATAACTTAATAGCCTTTGAATTTGTTGGGATTCTGAATTGGTAATAATTCATTTTAAATACAATGTTGCTCTACTAAACATCCCTCCATCATTTCTTGGTCTCTGTGATTTACATTAATAATTCTATAACTCTATTTCTCTAATATAAGATAAGGAGGAGCTAAAGACTCTTGTAACATCTAAATAATTCCCAGTATTAAGTCCAAAATGGATATTATAAATAAGTGACAGAATTTTTAAAACTATACGTACAGATTGGTTTTAGATTATATATTTCATTTAGTCCATTCGGTTGTTCTCTGAACTGATATGAAGTAAAAATACTTCAGAAAATGTTTGTGTCACAGAGCTTGTTAATAATGTAATAACCTTTTTTTTTTTTTTTAGAAAAATACTCATTTCTACAAATAGTTTTCAGGATCAGAAAATCCACTGACCTTGGCCTGGGTACTTGGGGTTAAGAACCTTTGATCTAAGAGCACCATAAAAGAGTTATCTATACCAAAGCCTCAGACAGTATTCGACTATTTTTCTGCCCTCCACACACCCAACAATAGAATGCACCCTCATCAGTAATAGTAGCTTACTACCAACAATAATTAACCAAGAAGAGGGTTGTATATAACATTTTCATTAATTTTCATCTTTATTTCACTTCTCTAACAGAATGTTTTATTTTTCATTAATTTTCTGATATTCCCTAGAACTGCATATACTTTTCAGAGAAAAAAGTTATCTACTCGTTTAGCCCATAATATATACCTTAGAGAAGATATTAGAGAAAAGATGGAAATAGTTCTCCGTACTGTGAAATATCTCTGAATCAGTAAATTGTCGAATACATTAAAAAAATAAAATATTTAAATACAAGTAAATATTTAAATTCAAGTTAATGCTAAAATCTATTACTGTCTTTGCCACTGATGTACCACTTCATCTCCACATCAACTCCAAGGCTGTGATGAGAAGGTGTATGTACCCCTATCCTACAGCAATGAAGGAAAAGGAACCCAAGCTTGGAGGGCCCTTGAGTTTTCATGAATGCTGAGTAGTAACATCCAAATCTAGAAAACATCCAAGAAGTAGTGACTGAAGAATATAGCTTAAATTCTTTAATTTTTAAAACTATTTCAAAAAGTTATTCTTTCAAAAGGCCCTTTAAGAACCACACAAAGGTAGGCCTACATACTTGGATGATCACAAGGCCTTCAGAGGACAACATTCAGTACTGTAAAGAGAAATCATGCTTAAATCTATCCAGAGTTATACCATCCAATCTTTAAGCCTTTCAATTTCCTTTAAAATTATAAATGTTAGATATATAAGCATCTTGATCCCTCTTTATAAGAAAATCATCTATCCTTCAAAAACTAACCTTATTGAAGTATCTGAAAAGAATAGCTCTAATCTCAATAGGATTCAGGCCAATGAGTTTTTCCAAGACATTTGCTTCACTATGAGAGAGGTTTTGGAATGAAGCTCTGAGCGAGTTCTGGCGACTCTGGATACTTTCATTCTTGTATTCAATTGCAGCTTCCAAAGCTTCAATCCCTTCTTCAAGTTGGAAAAGAATATGTTCTTCCTAGGTATAACATAACAGAAATCACTCGTTTTAAATGAAATAACTTGGACTTTTTGTCATATACTAAGATCTCATTAATAGGTTCTTGGAAACTGACTTTAAGAGGAATGTCATATAATGAAACCAATTTTACTATATGCTAATTGATATAAACAAGAGTTCCTACAGCATATTTCTGGCCACCAAAACATCACCAAACTTCTAAGGACAGACCCAAAACATTTCAAATATTAAATACTGAAACATATGAGCTATAAATCCATTTAAGAAAGATTAATAAAAACAAGATCATTCTTTTCCAACCCGCTGATTCCAGTTCAGGGTCATGGGTGGCCAGAGCCTCTCCTGACAGCTCAGCAAGCAAGGTAGAAACCCATCCTGGGCAGGATGCCCTTCCATCTCAGGGCCACTCACACCCATACTCAAATTCACTCAGACCGGGACAATTTAGACACGCAGGTTCACCTAATGTGCACTTCTTTGGGATATGGGAGGAAACCAGAGTCCCCAGTGAAAACTCACACAGACATGAAGAGAATGTGCAAACACAGAGACAGTGGCCCCGACCTGGAATCATTTTTTTTTTTCCTCACCAACATTATAATGAAATGACGTTGAATGAAGTGATGTTATTCAAAGACCTGCTATATTTGAGTCTAATGGATATTACTTTTCTTCTACTAAATGTTAAGAAAATGTTTATTGAACACTTGCTATGCTATACAATGCACTGTTTGTATACACATATATAACGTAACCTTGAATCTTTGTAATACACCTTATGTAGTAAAATGAAAGAGGCAGAAAACTTAGGTGAGTTATGAAACATCCCAAAGTCATACCGCAAATGCTGATCACCAAGGAAAACACTCAAAGCCTCAGCCCACGGGATTAGCAATATTGTCATATACCTCCCTCCATAGCCCCTACAGTTCCTATTATGTATCAATGAGATCTAAATACACCCCAATGTCCCTTCAAGGATCTATTAAAACAATATATTGATAAGTTATTAAGAACTAGTAATCCCTAGGAGAGCCTCTAGGGAAATAGACTTAGAATAAGTTATTAAGAACTAGTAATCCCTAGGAGAGCCTCTAGGGAAATAGACTTAGAATAAGTTATTAAGAACTAGTAATCCCTAGGAGAGCCTCTAGGGAAATAGACTTAGAATAAGTTATTAAGAACTAGTAATCCCTAGGAGAGCCTCTAGGGAAAAAACACAGTATGGTATTTAAAAAAGTAGTGAGGATTTAAGGACATGAAACATTTCATAAGATTTCTATGAGGTGTCATTAGAGGGATTACACAGGCATTAAAAATGGTGGCAGCATAACATTTTTTTTCATAAGCCAGAGATTTCCTTTGTAGGAAAAAAATCTGACGAATCTCTATCAGAAAACCTAGCAGTTCTTTGAACTATCGGAATAACATGTTATTTGGTGAGGAGGGATCCAAATCTCTGGTAAGATATTATTTTGGACTTGCTGAGACTTGACTATATACATACACATATGTATACACACACATGTGTATGTATATACCTACCTATACATGCGGTGGAGGTCACCTCGACCAAGTGCATTAAGGTCCGAGTGTCTTGTCTATCCTCATGTCCTTATTGCCTAGCACAGTACATATCACACAGTTATACTTAGTGTCTGCTGAATGAGTTGATGAAGGAAGAGAAAAAAAATTTTTCATTATGTCTTGGTTACATAACCCAAGTATTTCTCTCTACTCTTCTCCATCAGCATTTCAAGGAAAATAATGTCAATATTTCTGACCTACCTAAAGAACAGAGTGACTTCCAGAACTCCCTTTTTGGAATTTGGGGAAATGGTATGTAATAACCTATTCTGGTGGGAGGTCGAATAATACTTATTTTTAAAAGCCATTTTATAAAATCTCCTGAAAGAGCTATTTTGAAAAATAAAAGTTCAACAGCCATTTTATTTCTCTGTGCAATCATTAACCATCAAGAATTTGATGATTTGATAATCAACCCATAAGAAAGAAAATAATATTCACCTTTTTAAGAAAACAAACTTGAATCCCCAAAGGTACCAGGTGAATGAGAAACTAGAAAATAAATTATCCAAAGAACATATTTGACTTTACAATGCATACTGTGATTATATTTTACCAAAAACCAATGTGGAGTTTGCCTTTCTATGTGGCTGAGAACAATTTGGTACAAATTTAGTTCCTATAGTTTTAGATGTAAGTTAAAGAAACATAGTATAGCATTAAAAAAATATACATAAGGTAGACTGACTACTGAGCCCTGAGACTAGCCGGCTCCAGTATAAATATTTGTGGGTCTCTCTAACCCAGCAATAGGTAGGTCTAGGTTGACAAATGAGTGGCAGTGGGAAGCTGTCCCACAATGAAAATTTGCTACAAACCATAGATTATCAACAATTGATGATGCTTCATCATAGAGCTGTGTATTAAGCTTTATTGTGCACCAGGGAGCTTGTCAAAATGCAGATTTCTAATTTAGCAAGTCTGGGTGGGGCCTGAGGCCCTGCATTTCTAGGTGATCCTGTTGCTGCTGGTCCCAGAGACCACACTGAGAGTAACAAGGACCTAAAGCAGTGGTCTCCAAACCTTTTAGATCATACACCCCTATCAGTAAAACAAAACCAACAAAAGCTTTTGAGCAAGAACTGCATATATGTATATTTCTCAATAAGTTATATGCAGCTTCTAATCCTAAAACATGAAATTGAAAATTTAAAGATAAAATAAACATAGATATATATAATAACTCTTATATTTTCTTTTATATCTCACTAGGCAACTGCTCTGCATTGTTACAAAAATGTTATTAAAATCTTAGTTTCTGGATTTTACCAAAAAAAGGAGCTGATTTGCTTACATGAAATTGTTGAGTAATCCTGTACTAGTATAGTGATCTAAAATCTATCACTTCCCACAAAGTAATACAATTAGGAAAATAGTTTTATTATGGAAAGAGAAAATAGTTCTAGGCAAATTTAAAGACATCAAAACAGCAAACCATTCCACCTAGATTTTATTGAGGTCTTGTGTCACATCAGCATCCCCTGATGATCTGCTACTGGCAGATTTATTTGGTAATATTAACCTTGGCTTGAAAATAGTGGCGACAGCACAGCCCACTTGAAAGCTACACTAAGAACCAACCATGCAGAAGCGTGCACAGAAGCTCACATGACTAAATGGAACCCCACTAACTACAGGAGGTTCACCACTCCCTCACACCCATCCGGAGTGGCTACTATATACGTAGCATGCACAGTGCTCTATTTTTACCACAAAACCCTACATGTTTTTAGTTACAGAATTCCACAAGAAATATTAACTGTTTCTCGATGATAACAATGGACCCTCTAGCCTTCTGCAAACATAACTTGCTCATTCCCATCTCTATGCCTTATTTAATGGTAGTCTATCTAAAATAGCCTTCTTTCTTGTTTATTTATTTTATGGTGACATTAGTTAACGAAATCCAGTAAGTTCCAGCTATACATTTTAACAGTAAGGCATATATATATTTACACTGTGTGTTCACCTCCCATAGTGAGATTTCTGTCACCACGTATTTGACCCCCTTTACCCCATTTATCTCCCCCCTCTCCCTTCCCCCTTACCCTCTGGTAACCACTATAAAATGACCTCCTTTCTTATATCAACCAATACATATCATGTTTTCCATAATTGGGGTCAAGATTCCAATCCACCAAGGATTGGAAGAAGAGTCTTCCCCCAAATGGTCACTGCATTGCTTTGTATAAGTAATGTCATAAGTATAGTTTTATTATTTTATCTGTAACTTGCTTTTTTATGTTCTTCAGGTTTGGAGTTTTCTTATCCTTCAGTTTCTTTTCTCCAGATAGAGTATGAATTTCTCAAGAGCAATATAATGCTTTTTACTTTTTTTGTTTCTTCTATAGGGCCCAATAACAGCCTTGGGCAAGCAAGAATTCCTTAAATACTTAACATGTTTTGCTGTATCTTAGGCTCTCATACCTTCCAATTTACAAGTTTCAGGCTCCAGTTTAAACAGTCTTGGGAGGACAACCTCATTCTGTGATCCCCTGCACAGCTACCTAAATTAAGTTCTACAACAGGGCATGGGGGCTTATGATGCCACATAGCCCCCAATCAACTTAGTCTTCAATTCCCTTCATCAACTCAATGAAGAATAATCTGATATCATTAAATTCTTTCTCCTGTTCCCTCTTAACCAGACCCCTTAACTTCCTCTCATACTTGTTCCAATCTGAAACACTACAAGATTCAGCAAGGTACATGATTCCCAGCTACTCACTTTCTCTTAGCAATTTTCTCTTGCTTTGGTAATGACAGGACATCAACAACAAATATTCGCAGAGAAAATTCAGGCTCAAAAATTCATCTTTGTCTGATAGAGTAAGGTACAGGTACCATTGCCAAGTGAGGTAAAATTCTGAAAAAAGACAAAACCTGGAGCAATTTGCTAGCCAATAAATGAAATATCTTTTATATAGCTTAAAACAAAATAAAGAGGAGCTATATGCTCCCTTAAATGAAAACTCTAAAAGCTATTTTTATTGAAATTTGGATTTTATGTATCTACCTAGGTGGGACTTAGTGTGGAATATGCACCTGAACATTGGGCCTTTCTCAACCAAGGAAACACAAAAGAATTAACCCTTAATGCCCTAGGCTTCCATTTTATGTAATAAAGTACCTAGTATCATTCAGGAAAGATGCCCAAAGAGAAAGAAGGTGCCCTCTCTGGAAGAAATGAGACAGTCTTTCAAATCATTTTCTGTGTTCTGTGAGTTTAGTGGAGAAACCTGGCTGAAAAAGACCAGACTCAAGTAAAGTGTTAGTCTCCCAGTCCCTGGCATGAGGACATCGCAGTCTCTAGTCAAGCATGGCTTACGGGGCCAGGTAAATATTACATTTGACAAAGTTTCAAGGAAACAAAGTTCATCAGATTTATCATTTTTATGTTTAAGTGACAAAGTGGGAGGAAATCATCCAAGTGATCCATCATACAGCACTTCCAGTTCCAAAGAATACTGACTTACTTCAGGTGATAACACGCTACCATTTTTAAGTTTCTCATCCACACTGTTTCTTCTTCTCTGTAGCTGATCTTTTTCTTTCTGGAGGGCTTGGACTTGTTCTGAAATCTTTATTTTCTCCTCAGCTGTGCTGCTCTGGAGCTGTACATTCTTTTCAGACAACTCTTGGTCCAGCAAGTTCAGGCGAGTTGATATTTTCAAACTATCTGTGTTTAAGGCCTAAAAAGACACAATCAACCAGTCACCCCAGAAACAGTTACTAGAAATCCAGACTGCAGATAACTAGAAAGAAAAAAAACATAGTGAAAATTACTAAAAGAATATATTTTTAGCTTCTACATTATTTTGTTCCATAAATTTTCTGAGGGGGCAGGAGACTTCATTTCCTAAAATTTTAAGTTGAATATCTTTTTTTAAAAATATGGAAATTCAAACAAAGAATTTACTACCAGGTGTTGTCTGGCCTACTCCGCCCTTTCACCTGAGTTCGGTTCCCCAGAAACAACCATCTTCAGTGTTTTTGCTGTTTCTTCTGGTGTTTATGTCCATGTTTCTAAATAACATTATCAGTTTTAGATATTGTCTACTGACTGTTATGGAAGATAAGGATTTAGCACCCTTATGCCTTCTCTTTCCTACTTCTCCTTTCTTCATTCTTCCAATATGTATTAAATCAATATTTAGATTACATGACTTTGTGAATATTATTCAGATCAGAACTATCTAGTATAAAATGATCATACTTCCATCTGATACAACTTTTTTTATACCTTATAACTAATACTTCTCTAATAGAACTATGAAATTCTTCTCAACATTATTTTTTTATTTGATCAAACTTAAATCAGGAAATCTTTTCATTCCATTCATTTCTGGAAACATTCTGCTTGGCGCTTCCATATTCTTGCTCCACAATGGATAAATTGTTCTCGGACTCCCCTTTGGTATTATCCTGGAAATTTCCGTGTAGGATCACATTTTCAGGATCCAGAGTCTTCCTTTTTCATAGTTTATGCCCTTTTTTTGTGGTGTACACCCTCTAGTAGTTCCCTGAGACAGGCCAAGTGGGAGATAATTTTTTCACTTGAAAGTATCTTTATTCTACCTTCACGTACACTACGTGGTCTTTTGTGACTGGCTTCTTTCACTTAATATAATGTTTTCAGGGTTTATCCGTGTAATAATATGTATCACTACTTCCTTTCTATTGCTGAATGTTATTATAAACATTCATGTACAAATTTTTGTGTGGACATATGTTTTCACTTCTCTTGGATATACACCTATGAGTGGAATTGCTGGGTCATGTGGTAATTCTATATTTAATCTTTTAAGGAACTATAGTATAGTTACCTAAAGCAACTGAACCATTTTACAATCCTACCAGCAGGGTATGAAAGTCCCAATTCCTTCATATCTTTACCAACACTTATCTATTTTACTGATTATAGCCATCCTAGTGGGTGTAAAGTGGTAGCTCATTGAAGTTTTTATTTGAATTTCCCTGTCGACTAAGGATGCTGAGCATCTTTTCATGTCTTATTGGTCATCTGTATATCTTCTCTGGAGAAATATCTATTAGATCCTTTACCTACTTTTAATTGGGTTTTCTTTTTACTACTGAGCTGTAAGAGGTCTTTATATATTCTAGATACATGTCTTTTATCAGATATATGATTTGTAAATATTTTCCCCTCTTCTATGGGTTGTCCTTTTACTTTCTTAATAGTGTCCTTTGCATCACAAATGTTTTTAATTTTGAAGAAGGCCAATTTATCTGATTCTTTTGTTGCTTGTGCTTTAGGTATAATATCCAAGAAACCATTGCTTAATTCAAGGTCACAAAGATTTATGTTTTCCTCTACAATTTTTATAGTTTTGCTCACTTAGGTCTTTGATTCATTTTGACTTAAATTTGTATATGGTACGAATATATTTTTTGATATCATATTCCTTGTCTGAAATGCTTATGATCAAGTCTTATAAGGATTTCTTAAACATTGAAAAAAAGATATCTTTTTGTGTCTTTTGTTCAGAAGAGAACCTAAGCAGTATAACAGTCTCAATTTCTCTTCTGTTTCATTAAAACAATCTTCAAAGAATCAGTTTTGCTTTGATCTATTGTGGGTTTCATTTATTTACACTATCTCAGTATGTCCTTCTTCCTAAATAAGACATCTGGTTGAAACTAGAAAACAGTTGTTTTCATTTTTTCCTGTATCATGAAGTAAACTTATTTCAGGAAGAAGATTTTCTTCCTCATTGCTTTTCCCCCACTCTTTTCTATGATACAGAATATACCATAAAGGTCCCAGGATTTTCTTCTATTTACTCACTTGATATTTTAGTTTGTTAATATTCTTCACTGTTGTTTACATGTTTTGAGGGACAGCTTTTAAAACCTGACCCTGACAGCCAGTGTGAGCAAGCTACCTGGATATAGCACCAGCATCTAGAGCAGTTAGAGGGGGTGCCCCCACCCCTGTATCCTGCAGCTTGGTGCTAATAGCTATTTCAACATGTTTGGGAAATGGAGAACAAAGCACAGGTAAGTACAGGTCCCCATCCCTGTCTACCTGTTATATTGAGGTGGAGAGGTTAAGCAGATGCCACTGTCAACTGAGATCCGACTGGTCTAGATTTTGGCTGAAAGGCAGACTTAATAGAGGCAGGTCACTGATCCTCTCTGTTTCATGGCTCAGTGTATAGATTGACCTTGGACTCAAGGCCTGCTGGAGGCAAAGGTTTGGGCAGAAAGTCCTTTCCAAGCCTGCTTCATTTTTAGATAATGCTGCTATTGTTGAAAATATGTGTAGATATATCAAATAATGTATCTCCTGGGCCTTCCAGTCCCTTCACAGTCATTCTTTTTTCAAAACTTGAAATTGAGGCAAATTCCCTCACAAAACCACTTCTTTGGCTCATAAAATCCAAGTCCTCCAGCAAAATTTTTTGTAAAGGTCTCCAAGTCATTATAATTTGAAAAACAAACAAATCTTCATTACACAAAATCTTTCTTTTATAGGAGCCCTGCAAACCCCTAACTTTAGGTAGTAGTGATAGCTAGATCATTTTCAAGTCTATTTTTCCAAATTATCAATACAGCATCACTATACAGCATCAAATAGTACAATTTATTTTGAAAATATCCACTAAAGTTAATAATAGAGGTTGTCAGGGGAATTGGGGAGTTATTGCTTAATGGTTAGAATTTTAGTTTGGGGTAATAAAAAGTTGTAGAAACAGATAGTGGTGACAGTTGTACAACATTGTGAATATAGTTAATGCCATTGATTTGTACATTTAAAAATGGTCAAAATGGTAAATGTTATGTTTACCACAACTTAAAAAGTACCAAAAAAAGTTAATAATAAATAAATCATACATAGCAGAACGCTGAACATTTTACTTCAAAGTTGCAATAGATTTTAGTGATGGTCATTAGATAAGTAGTAATAAGCAAAATACATCTAAAACCAGAAGAGTTCTTTTGATTTTTGATTTCACAATGGTTTACTTAGAGAAAAAAGTTCTCGTTTATATGACTTACAACCAAAATGAAAGTGTATTAAATGGAATACCTGACTGGATCTCAACTTCTTATTTTCCAGGTGGCTCTTCTCCTGTAACAGGGCCTCTTTTTTAGAAACTATAGCCTCCCGTTTCTTTAAGTCTTCTTCCAGCTCCTCTAATTCTTGGCGTTGGTTCAGAACTTTTTCTACTTCTTCATCTAACCATTTCTTTTGCTCATCCAATTTCTATATTAAAATTTCAAAGAAATGTTACTTGCTTTTCTTCTGCCATAAAATTTATATGGTAATAACATAATTTCAGATTGGCTGAAACACCTTAAATGAATATTTTAAAACTACTAGTGAGAGTAACAAAATCGTCATCCTGTCTAGAACTGTCAAGAAGTACATGGTTCCAGTTAACATCCTGCTGTGTTGTTTTGTAAGGAATTAAAATTTACTCCCCAACTATGTTCAAACCTGGAATTTTTTAGGCTGGCCAAAAAAGGGCTGACAATTTTCTTCACATGTATTAAGAGTTAGTTCTGAGAACAGGCTGAGAACTTTTTCTCTGTCATAGAGGTCATACTTCCATCACAGCACTTAACACTGCTGGTTGTTCTACAGTCTGTCTCCCCAACTTGAGCTCCTTGATTGATTTCAGAACTGTACTTTTCATCTCTCTGTCCCCAGGTGCCTGGTATACTGCCTGGCCTATGACTGGCCTTCAATAAAATGTTAAATTAATGGCTGAAAGGAATGCCTGAGTCAATCAATTAATGAAGTAAATAAATGAATACACACAGTGGAAGACATAGATATTGGAGCATGGAAATCCACTCTGCACTGTAGCTGTCAACATCAAATAATTCTAAAATAAAATAGAATCAGAAAGATTTCCAAAACAGCATTAGTTCTGTCTGGGAAATGAAAGAAACGTCACTGCCAGCCCCACAGAATAGTTAATATTTTAGCTGTGCTTTGATGAATGGGTAGGAGTCTTCTAATATAAAATACAGGTTTTTTTAGAGAAAAAATAAACGGATTTTTCTGCATTTGATATAATAAAGGTTATAATTTATATAATCCACTGTATCTAACTAAGTCTTCTGAAAGTTTCTTGATTTGTCTTCTTTTCATAGCAAAAGTTCCTATCATATAGTTCTAATTTTAAATTCTTATAAAGGAACTTCATATCAAATCAGTGTTCTATTATAAGCTCTCTGGATACTCATATTGATTAATTTAAAATCTTGTCCATGTTTAGAGTCAAACTCTGGAAAACAGGTTTTTGTTTTGCAACATTAAAAAACATGAAATGTTTTTCATTAATACAATACAATCAGTGTAAGCTGCAGAAATCTTTTTATTATTGTATTCATTTTAAATTTAGATACTTATTTTGAAAATAGATCTCACTATTTGATGCATTCCTACCTCTCCTACTCCCCCACAGACCCTTTCCACTTAGAAATGCTTTTTAACCAATTTCTAAAATATGCTAGTAAAATAAATAACTTGGAATACAGTAAGTCCTCACTTAATATCATTGGTAGGTTCTGCGACTTTAAGCAAAACTATGTATAAAAAATGATTTTACCATAGGCTAATATAAACGAGTTAAGTTCCTATAGCATCTCATCAACATTATTATGAAATGATGTTTAATGAAATGATATTATTTGAGGATGTGCTATACATTCATGTCTTAAGTTTTACTATTATAATATAAAATTTAGGAAGAGAGAACAAATAAAATTTCAGAATTAAGGTGATGTATTTACATTTGAGTGTAATTAGAATTTTAAGGGCAGTGTTTTACTTTCTGTAAGATTTTTAGAACTGCTATTTTGAATTTACATAAAATTAAATTTTGTTTCTTTGAAGTTTTTTATTAGTTTATGGATTTCATTTTTTTAAAAAATTTTATAAGAGTTTATTTGAGCCAAACTGACATCAATTTCCAGGAAGCAAGATCTCAAATGCTCTGGATTTCTTTTTTAAATGTGGAGCTAAAACAATAGCTTTTTAATATATTACATATAGTGCACGTACTATTTCGTTATGTTTGAATGGAGAACTCTGATTTTTAGAAACATTATCTGTTTCCATGGGAATAAACCAGTTCTGACGTGGAAATAATACAATCTAGTGAACATGGATTTCATGTTTACATTCCACAGCATTCAAATAAACCCACTTCTGCTAAAATAAGAATACAGCACATTTTTGGATGAGAAAGTAATTTTTTAATAACAGAAAGGTTTCAGAAGACATATTAGAAGTTTTGCATTCAAGTGGCAAAATCTATTGTTCGAAGATTTTATTCAGAGTTCACCACTTTTTACTGTTATTTAGACAATCATCAAATAGAAGAAAAACCAGAAAATACTAAATAGAATTGACAAACCTGGAGTTGGTCTATACTTCCAAACGAACCTTTTCTCCTTTTCATCTTCAATGCATCAAGGTCCTCAGCTTTCAGTTTTAAACCTTCTTCTGGTTCTGTTTTTAACTTTAGTTCCTGTAGAAGACAGAAATCAAAAACACCTATGGCTTTTACTATGTGGGCATCATTAAATATTTATGAAATAATCATTTTATTAATATTTGCTTTCTTAGTTACAAAAAATAAATAGATGAAGGTTGAGATATTTATTTGAGAAGAAAACATTAGCCCCTCACTGAAGCAGTAAAATCTCACAGCAGAAATCAGGGTTTATTAACAAACCTAAATATATTTTTCATTCATTCCCAGTGTTACAAATTAGTGTAACAGGGATTAGAGTCTGAAAATTATGTTTTTCTCGTCTGCCTCTCTGAGCTCATTACTTTCATTCAATTAGTCCACCTAAGGTGTCTATCTGCCATAGGGATATAAGAATTTATGACAGTAGAAATCAGACTCTGAGCTTGAGAATAGCCTTGCAAGACAGACCATGGTCCTGTGAAGAGTATTTTCCAAATTCCTTTAGTTTCCATCCACATCTCAAGAGTCAAATCAAGAGGCCCAATGCTCCTGGTGCTCTCCTGCAGTTTAGAGAAGATGCCGCTGTCACCACTCAGGCTTAGCAGGAATCGGGAGGGAGGCCATGAATCAAAGTTGGCTTGTCCACATACTCCCTTACTGGTCCATGATGGATAAGTACAGAAATTGAAAGTGTTTAGAAAATTTTATAGCAATTTGACAGAATAATTTTATATCTGTTGAATCTAATAATTAAAAGATGGACTCTTTTATAGTATATTTTAATCTCATTTTTCTACAAGTTCATGTTTTTAAAAAGTACTGAGTTATAACAAATTAGTAATAAAATAATTGTACCTTCCCCACAGGTAATTTCAGAAGTACTGATATAAAGGAAATAAAAAGAATCCACCATTATCCCGCCCTGGGAACAGCAGAAAGGAGAAAAGAGACAGTAAGACGTGTGTCCTAATGTTCCTCTTAAGTACTGGCCGAGAAGCGGGGTAATACTTAAAGGTTATCACTGAGGGAAGAGTGAGAGAAAGTAGGCTGCAGCGGCAGAGGCTCACACCCACAAGGACTGCTCAGCCTTGCTGAAAGAGCTGAGAAGTCAGGAAAGAGACTAATTGGCCCCCTCGACCTCAGGTGACGTGGATCCGGAGTTAAGAGCCAGTGGGGGTCAGTTATCATGGAGAATTGACACCAAAACTTAAGATGAGGATAGGCCACGAGGTTAGCAAGCTAGATAGAAGACTTAGTAGCCTCAGCGGGGATTTATAATGCCATTATGAGGTGAAGTCAAAGCACTTCCATGCTCTAAACTGAAAGCATGACCAGACTATGAGTTATACCAGCCACAGGTTACATCATTAGGGGCCAGCAGGAAAAGGTAGACAAGAGAGAGCAGATTCCAGCCAGTCACATCCAAGAACCAACTAAAACTCAGGGGGCCACTTCTCTCTCAATTCAATAAAAACTATACACCTGACCACTATATACAATAGTGCAATAAAAGCTATACACCTGACCACTACATACACCGGGAGAGGGGCACAAGGAGCAAAAGGCTAAAAGACTAAATATTCTTATTCAAGAGAGCTGAGAATTATTCAAAGGAAATGTTTAAATTATCATAATAGGTTTAAACAGACTGAATATTTGGTTAGTCTCCACCACATTTCCAGCAATTATCATCACATGAATTGGGTTGGGCGGGGGGTATCATAAAGAACATAGATCTGCTATAGACTAAATAAATTTTTTATGCCCACCTGAGTTGCATTATGAGTGAATCTGGACCTTATTATTTTTACTACCCATCAACTTTTCATGCCTCCCTAGATCTAGAGTTCATAGTTATTATAATTTAGCCTGTCATAGTCACAGCAACTTCAGGTTGCTGAAATAAAGGCACCTTAAACTTGACTCTCTACTATTCCTGTTCTTCCACATATGCTTTAAAAGAATACTGCAGTATGTTTAATTCCGTCTTCTACATGTTGCAGTAGATATTACTGCTTTTATCTTATATTGTAATCCCTGTTATATTAAAATAACTGTGTGCCAGGCACTGTATTAGGTTTTTTTATATCTATTTAAGTATGCCATTTAATCCTCACAATAATCCTATGAGACAAGGATTATTATAAACTCCATTCTATAGATGAGGAAATTGGTGCTTAGAGAAGTAAAAAACCAAAGATCATACTATGGCCCACTATTTCAGGGGTTCTTATAACTTTTCTTTATAGCTCCTCCATGGACTTCAATTAAGAACTGCTGCTCTAAGGAGAACCTATGCAGAAGTATAGTATTCTCTGGAAATGGCTTATCTAAGTGGAAAATGGACCAAGAGGAGTATCAGAAAGTTAGCTCCAAACAGCGGGCAAGATGACCTTTAGGACTTTAAGCATATTTTCTGTTTTTGTATGAAGTAGTATAAACTATATTTGGGGTAGACTGTTCCTTTTTCTGGAATACTCATTCTCCTCCTTGAATGGGTCATTTCCCTAAAATCTGAAATAGGGCTAAACAAAATTGTTCTACATGAGAATGTAAAAAGTTTAAGTTACAGAGTTGCACTCTGACCAAAACAGATTAGAGTGCTGTCTTGTTGTTTTAAGCCATGACCAATGAGAGATGAGAAGCTGAGACCCAAAGACCCCAAGACTGACAGACCAAAAGATCCTCACATTAGAGGAAAGACTGTAACAAAGAGACTACGTTGTTGGCAGTAGAAATGAGAATTGAACAGATTCAAGATATTTAGAAGATAATTTATAGGACTTAGTGGCTCATTGGCTATGGGTGATGGAGAAGAGGACAGAGTCAAGGATGACTGCCAAATTTCTAGCTTACCCAGCTGAACAGATTGAGATATCATGTAAAGCACATTGGAATACTACTTTTTTTTCCCTGTGAAAGAAGCAGGGAGGGGATATGTGGGGAGATAAGTAAGGAAGATCATAAATTCTTCTACAGAACAACCTAATGAAGATGTAAATATTTAGATATAAGAATCCAGAGCTCAAAGAGCAAATCTGGAGCTAAGGATTAAATGTGGGAGTTGTCAGAGTTTAACTGCAGCCGTGGAAAAAGATGAGGTCACCCAGGACAGAGTATAGAAGATAAGAGGGTACAGGCTAGAGCCTTGAGGAATTCCCATCTGTAAAGGACCTATGCTATCGGAAAGAGAAAAAGAAAAGAGAGAGAGAGAGAGAGAAATTTCACGAAGGCAAAGGGGAAAATATTTTAAGATAAGAGGACTAGGGAACTGTGCTAGATGCAACTGAGGTGTTAAGATAAGGACTATAGTGACAGAGAGAGCACTACTGAACTCCTCAGCATTAGTGAACTCTGAAATAGATGGTAGAGCTGGGAGCCAGAAGCCACGATGGAGAGGATAAGAGAATGAATGGAAGCAAAGAAAACAGAAACAACTGCAGTAAACTTTTCCAAGAAGTTTAGTTATAAAGGGGAGAAGAAAGTGATATAAAGCTGAAGGAGGATAATTTTAGGATGAGAAAAAATCTAAGATGTTTAAAGATTGATTCTAGGAGAAAAGGAAAAGTTGAAAATATAGGAGAAAAAAAGATTTAATGAGATAAAGTCCATTAGTGCTTAGCATAGTATTGACTGAAAATACTTAATAAATCTTAACTACTGCCATAATAATAATTATTACCATTAAGAATGAGTAACTCAAGGAAATCAAGAAAGCAATTCCATTCACAATAACATCTAAAAGAATAAAATACCTAGGAATTTAACCAAAGAAGTAAAAGACTAATGCACTGAAAATTGTAAAATTATAAAATTAAAGACCTAAATAAATGGAAAGACTCCATGCTCATGGATAGGAAGACTTTATATTGTTGTGATGTCAATACCATTATAGATTCAGTGAAATCCATATTAACATTCCAATGGCCTTTTTTGTGGAAATGAAAAAGTTGATCCTTGAATTCACGTAGAATTGCAAGGGACCTCAAATAGCCTCAAAACAATTTCAAAAAGAAGAACAAAGTTGGAGGACTTATTTCCAAATTTCACAACTCACTTCAAAGCCATAGCAATCGAAACAGTGTGTGTGGTACTAGCATAAGGCTAGACATATAGATAAATGGAACAGAATTGTGAGTTTAGAAATCCATAAATCTATATCCAATTGATTTTTGACAAGGGTACCAAGTCCATTCAAAGAGGACAACTGGATTTCCACATGCAAAAGAATGAAGTTGGACCCCTACCTCACACCATATTCAAAAATTAACTAAATATGGATCAATGACCTATTAAATATAAGAACTAAAGCCATAAAATTCTTTTTAAAAAACACAGGGATAAATCTTTATGATCTTAGATTTGGCAATGGGTTCTTAGACATGACACCAAAAGCACAAGTTACAAAAGAAAAAAACCAGATAAATTGGACTTCGTAAAAAGTTAAGAACTTTGTTACATCAAAGAATATTATCAAGACACTTTAAAGACAACCTACAGAATGGGAGAAAATATTTAGAAGACATGTATCTCATAGAGTTTAATGTCCAGAATACATAAAGAACTCCTACAACTCAACAACAAACAATCCAATTAAAAAGTAGACAAAGAACTAGAATAGACTTTTCTCCAGAGAAGATAAACAAATGGCCAATAAGCACATGAAAAGATGCTCAACATCATTAGTCATTAGGGAAGTGCCAATCAAAACCACAATGAAATACCACTTCACATGTACTTAGATGACTATAATAAAAAATAAAACAAGTGTTGGCTAATATATGAAGAAACTGAAACCCTTGTACATTGCTGGTGAGAACGTAAATTGGTGCTGCCACTATCAAAAAAGTGTCTCTTTGAAAAACTAAATATAGAACTATGTGATCCAGCAATTCCACTCGTAGGTATTTCAGTTCCAAAGGGATTGAAAGCAGGGACTTGAACAATTACCTGTATGCCAGTGTTTATCACAGCATTATTCACAATAGCCAAAAGGCAGAAACAACCCAAGTGTCTATCAACAAAGGAATGGATAAACAAAATGTGGTATATGCATACAACGGAATATTACTCAGCCATAAAAAGGAATGAAGTTCTGATATATGCTATAATGTAGATGAACCTTGAAAGCATTAAGCTAAGTGAAATAAGCCAGATGTAGGACAAATATTGTGATTTCACTTTTATGAAATATCTAGAATAAGCAAATTCATAGCCACATAAGTATATTATAGGTTATCAAGGGATTGGGGGAAGGAGGAAATAGGGAGTTATTGCTTAGTGGTTACACAGTGTCTGTTTAAGGTGATGAAAGTTTTGGAAATAGTGGTGATGGCTGCACAACATCGTGAATGTAATGAATGCCATCAAACTGTACAATTAAACATGGTTAAAAGTGACAAATTTCATGTTATATGTATTTTACCACAACTTATAAAAATAATGTAATATACCAAAATGCATTTAATTGTACACTTTAAATGGAGGAAGTACATCTCAATTAAAAAAACAATCAGTAACTTGGTTTAAATGCTTTTTAAGTTCCCTTCCATCACTAAATTCTATGGATTTTGTTTTCAGGTCTGAGAATAGATTATATTCCAAAATCAAATGTCTAGGAAATCTCCAATTATGTTCCAAGCTTTGGTTTTAGCTTAACATTTCAACAGAAAAGACTGGTACATAGTGCTAGATAAGTGTTTGTTACTGTTGTTTTTATGATCATTATCATCCTGCTCTTTCTTCAAAAGGGCCCTGTGTGGCAAGTATGATTAATGCCATTATAGATATGAATAAACGACTCAGAGACGGTAAGTGATTTTCTCAATAAATGATCCACCTAGGAAATGGGAGAGCTTGGATTTGAACCTATGCTAGCTAGCCCTGCTCCAAGCTGACACCATTAGTTCCTCCCCATCCCAATCTATTCTATAGAACTGCTAGGCATACAGGTGTTCTCTCTTGTTTGCTCACTGTGAATGAAATTGTACCATTTTACCTTGTACTTTTTTCCATGACATCATATGAGCGATGTATTTCGAAGCACTTTGAAATGGGAAGTCTTATTCAAATGTTAGATGTTATTTTGAAAGTTGGCTTTATATAGTTATGTTTTTGACCGCCATAATGAAAGTTAAGGCTCTTGTTTGAAAAACTGTGTCACTGAACTTTCTTTCATGAAGTCAAAGCCTTCAAAATAGTACTCAGAATTCAATAAATAGGTTTTACTATGTAGATGAACAAAGCTTTAAAATGAATGAGGACAGCAACCAAGAACAGGTCAAGATTAGATACCTCACAAACCAAATGATTCAAGCCCTTAGCTTCCTTAGCTGTGAGCCATTTAATATTCCATATTATGCTTAGCAGGAAAGTATGACAATATTACTTTGATTTTTTGTTGATCCCGCTTAATTTCTGTATCCAGTTGCTTCCTTTTTTCATTTTCTTCTCGAAGTCTTTTTTGCAGCTGTACCTTTTGATATTTCATGTGATCTACACTCTGCTCTAGTTCATTAGCACGTTTCTCATTTTGGATCGAAAGCGATGCCAATTTCTTACTATTTTGTTGCTTCTTCTGTAAGACCTAGGATCATATGGAATATTTTAAAATGAAAACTAGCACCTCTCACGTAAAGTAAACTTAATAAACCTCAAGTAAACAAACTTTTCATTCAGTGGCAAGGGTAGGCATTTTGCCTAGATTTCAATTTGTTTTTGATAGATTCACAGTTGTTTTCTACGTTTCTACTTTTACAGTTTGGGCAACCACCATAATTAAAGAATGATAAGACCTCTTAATGCTGACATCCAAAGACAATAAAACTGATCTCTTTGCTTTTTATTAATAAGTAATTTTAAAAATATTATATGTACATGGTAAAAATTAAAACAATACAAAACTGAACATATATATAATTTTTACAATATATCTGCAATACTGGAGCAAAAACGATAATACTAGCACTTTAGTGTCTTTTCCACATAATACTGAAAATATCAGTATAAGTACTGAAAATCCAGTTTAAAAGTGAGAGAAGTTCTCATTGTCTTTTGCACTTATTCCACAGATGCTCAAAAGTGCATCTGTTAGCATTAAAATGTTAATGTAGCTTATATATATCTAAAGATATAAAGAACACAGATTTTAGATTTTTAAAATTAAAAAATATTTGTTTTATAAACAATTATACAAAAAAACACTAATATTTCAATATTTAAAATGGTATATGTTAAAATACTGAAAACCTTTGTCATCACAACTATGTGACCCTGCATAAGTTATTTTATCTTTCTAAAATTTAGCTTCTTCACTTATAAAATAGGGTACAAATATCCACTTCAAAGGATTAAATAATGATTAATATACATACAAAACACCTGGTATGTATATGGCACTTTGTAGACACTTAACAACTGGTACTACCATCTTCATCGTCCTTATCATGCCTTTCCCCATCAGTTGTGCACGGATATGTCAAAGGCACAAAAATTTCTAAAACTACATAGGAATCCTGTTTTAGTCCTCTGCTGTATAAGATGTTTCTTTTGAACTTAAATAAGTTCTGTGTCTTTCCTTTCCTTATCAGTATCCGTAGCAGAAAAGGATATGCTGCGAGAAACATGTAAAACAAAAAGTTCATGGTAATTCACAAACTCTATTAATAACCTTTCATTTAATCTTTTAATCTCAACCATTTTAATTGTGTGAGATACAGAATTTATAAAAATAATCTTTGCTAAATCCGTAAACAAGGTTTAAACAGTAGATGCATAGGATAAATATAATAACCTCCTTGGAGAAACAATAATTCTGGTTATTATTTATATCAAGGATAAGAATTATAATCAGAATTGAAGCTAGGATATAAAACTATGAAATTATAAATAAAATTTCCTAATAAATACAAAGGAAAAATCTTGTTTTGTTCTACTAATCTGTTAAAATGAGTAAAGTAAGGCTAATATCACAGCCTTACTTTAAAGGGTCGAACAGTGAAAAAGAATTGATCCCAAGATTCTCTGAGGTGAATTGTTATGTGAAAGTAAGTATTCTTTAGGAAAGTGGAAGGTATGACGTACACAACTACTATGTCTTCCTTTAATCAGTTCAAACATTCAAGTCATATTATTTAAATCTGATGTTGACTTGAGAGGCTACTTAGGTAAAATATTTTAGTGGAGATGTCCAGATATTTGAGGTGTCATTACAAAACCCTAGGAGGAGGGACATTTTTGGTCTGTACACCTATCCATTCTCACATAGAATAGGACTTGACACACAGGAGGTATACATTGAACACTTAACCTTGTTGAAAGAAAATAACCGTGGAACAGTTTCAAAAATAAATAAATAATGTTCTAAATACGTTACCTACAATTCCATTCTACCTACGATGGAAACAATTTGAAAGCAATAAATTATGAATGAAAAGGAATGAAAAGGTATTCTAACAAATTCATTATAATCAGACTAACAAAGCACTCTGACCATACCTAAGCATCTGAAAATGGCTTCATTACACAAAATCTCTCTGTAATAGAATATTGCTCATAACAGAATTTTTAACTGTAGCTATTTGAAGTTATAACAAATTCCAGTATTAGGAAATTAAGAATATAGTACTCACAAGTTAACCTTTCTTAAGTCAGTTATAGTTTCAGAAAACTGTCTGAAATAGTTGTTGAATGTCTACAAAGTGCCATAAATGTACCAGATGTTTTATATGTATTATATAATCATTAATCTTTTGTCCTTCAGAAAAGGGCACTATCTCTGTGGTTATCTTTATTTCTTACCATATGGTTTTTGATAAAAAAGATTAAAATAATGTACTTCTTGAAAGCAGAAATATACTACCCAGATTGAAATTATGTACACCTACCAGCATTCTGGAAAAGAAAAGATGCCCTCCAATTTGTCTTATTGGTAAAAACTGAATCCTACTTCTTTCCTAACTAGGTACAAGAATATTCAAAAGCAGAAAGCTTTAGCAAGTTTTCTCAATTACATTTTTTAAATTACCTGGACTTTTAGCTTTGCGGCATCCATCTTTTTACGGAACTCTCTCTGTAATTTTACTTTCAAAGCAACATCAGAAAGATCTTTATTTTCCAGTTCCTGTAGCTGTTTTTCTGTTTCAATTAATTCCACTTTTGCCTGTTCTGCTTCGTGTGCAAGTTTTGTTACTTTCAGAGAATACTGTTTGCTTACAGACTTGGCATCATTACCTTCACCATAATAACAGCAGTAACAATTACAAATTATGTAAAAAAAAAAAAAAAAAAAATCTAAGTAAAACATCAAAAACATAAAAATGCTCTATTCTTAAAAATCCAGCTAGGCAGTATAACTATTTAAAAGGCATCACATTAAAAACTCAGCTGCAAAAAAATATAATAAAGAAAATCCCAGCTGCCCCACCCATCCCCATTAAACACATCTTGCTCCTGGCCTCTTAATAATTAGTTCTTTAATGACTGTTTCCATCTGTTGCCATTCAATCTTCATACTAGTTCTTATTTGTGTTATAGTGTGACATTTCTGATCCTCTGAGTATGCAGTTTAGCTCTGCTGGCATCAAACTTCAGTTAGGATATTTGGGGTTACTCTCTGGCCTGTTGCTTACTACACTTCAGCTTCCTGATATCCATAATCTGTCTCCCTCCATTCTCTTTTTTTATGAAAAATTTTCAACATACCAAAAGTAGAGAAAAGTAGAGAAATGAACTCCTATCACCCAGATTCAACAGTTATCAAGATTTTTGCCACAGTTGTTTCATCTATGCCTTTTTGTTTTAATTTGCTTAAAAATTGTAAAGCAATCCTAGATGTCATATCATCTTACCTATGTATACTTCGATAAGGATATCTATATAAAATATAGACATAACCAAAAAGTCACTAACACACCTAACAATATTAATACCCACCAGTCCCTATTCAGACTGCTCCAATTTCTCAAAATGTCTTTTACAACTGGTTCATTTTAATCATGATCCAAACAAGGTCCATGATACATTTGTGATTGTTATGTCTCTTAAGAATCTTTTAATTTAGAGCTGGCCCTCTCCTTTTTCACTCCATTGAACTTGTTAAAGATTAATTCTTTTTAAATGCCTTTCTTGTGAATGTGTAGAACAGAAAAAAAAAAAATAGAATAAGATATTTCTATATCTCCATTCTAAGCCCAGTTACTGGCCCTTAAAACTTGGTTTTGATAGATTTTTGAATAGTCAATTGACCCTGAACTAGATTAGCAAACTTGTGGCAGTAGGAAATAAGAGTCCAGAGGTCATGGGATGAATAACTGCCAGGGACAGTTTGTCATACTGCTATACTGAAAATCTCTTCATTTTTAATAAAAAGGAGTTATTGAACTAAACGCACTGTCAGTTGTCTTCTGGCTCTACAACTCTATAATTATTCGACTAACTTTAAAATACATATGACTACTATATTTTAATGAACCTAAGACCCATTAAAGTGTTCAACATACCAATATTCTATAAACTACTAAAAAAAAAAGGTACAATGCCAGTTACACCAATGATATAAAACTGTCATTTTTATGCAAGATGTAGTTACACCAATGATATAAAACTGTCATTTTTATGCAAGATGTAGATTGTAAGACATATCCTGATTTCAGAGATATTAAAATATGAAAATATGCATTAGAATTGATGAAATACAGTATAGTTATCACTGTTATTAATGTTGGCTGAAGTAGGTGCTATTCGAGAAAAATCTTCATTGAGGGGGCTTTTTTGAAAAGTAAGCGTACACTAACTCATTTGCTAGTCACCATCTCTAAGGGTCCTTAGGAAAGCTCCAAAATGCCCTTGGTTCTAATGAGTAAGGAGAGGACCTTCTCTGTGTGAGTTCAGGTACCCTCTATTTTAAGGCAACCAGGATATGTATGCCAGGCTATGAAAGTGTAGTAGTTTAGTGAGATATTCCATGGTGGGATAACCTAACTGAAAGAAAAACAGGTAGTACCTTGAAATCTTGGGAATAGAGATGCTATTTAAACCCCTAAATCAGTTCCTGGATCCTCCTAAGAGAGGTTTACTGGCATTGATACTGCCTGTGAGGGAGGGACATAGTCAAACTCAAACATCTGGGATATTGGAGCCGGGATAATGCACAGTACATATGTCACTAGGAGTGAGGAAGGAAGCGCTTTGGGACAGTGGCTAGGGAGAGGAGACTGAAAAAGAACTGATAGCCAGAAAGCAACGTTGCAGGAAAAAGGAGGAAGTGGGAAGGCTGGTTTTTCCCTTGCTGGCAGAGCAGTTGGGACCCACCATAATTCATGTAGTTTGGGTGTAACTGTAGCCAATAAAAATGAAGATAATATTTCCTTCAGTTCCCCTAAATGTGACCAAAGAGTTGTTTTTCATTGGAGTTGGGGAAAAGAAATGCTAGCATCTCTTATTCCTTCAATTCTTTATTGAATTTCAAATTACTCAAGGCTCACAATTTCAATATATGGGGGAGGGACCCAAAAAGCTTGAGAAGTGCTTTTGAGGGCAAGCCTAACATAGTGAGGGTGAGGAGAGGATATGATACATATGCCCAATCTGGCAGAAATTGGGACTAAGGAGAAGAGCTAAAAGCTTGGCTCAGTCAAGAGAACAGCTCTCAAGAACAAATCCTTTTATCTTTAGAGGGATAAAAATCAAATACATTTGAAATATAAAGTTTATGATTAATGTTAAAAATGAACTATCCAAGAAAATGAAGACTAATTATTTAAAATAAAGAATTACTAAAATGAGTTAGAAAACCATCGCAAGACATATTCCCAGATGCCTAGTACATTTCTTAAAAAGTGACAGAAAACATTAAGTGCCACAGAGTTTCAATACAGCACAGGGGTTCACACTGGTTAAAACAATTCATAGATGAATCCCAATATAACAAAGTTCTTTTAATAACTAACCTCCATATACTGGCTCTAGAACACACCCTGGTATACCAAATTCCAAGCTACCATGGATAGTCATGAGCATCAAAAACTAAAATGTTACAACATCAGAATAATTTTAGAAGCTTTTCTTTCTTATATCAGCTGTTTACAGGATACTATTACCTGTTTTCATTAATTCTTTAATTAGATCTTCTTTCATCTTGATGTTAATTGTAAGTTCTCTCATTTTTTGTTTTGCTTCATTAAGTATGAGTTCTGAATTCCTTAATTTTTGCAAATTCAACTCTTGACTCTCCTGGAGACATTCAATCTTTAAATCTTTAAAATAAAAGAAACAAAACTGAGAAAAAATTATCTGCTCCTGTAATATTCAACAGAAGTAGAGCTGAAAAACAAAAGCAGACACAGCAGTCCAGAGGTAGCAGAGGAAGAGACAAAGAGAGACAGGGAAGGAAAGAAAAAAAAATTACACAGCCACTGGAACTTTGGTTTTCTAGCTTACAGAAGGAGTTTTCATTAATTGTATCAGAACTACAGGATAAACCTGTGTGTGTGTGTGTGTGTATACATATATATATGTTTTAGTTATATCCTATAGTTCTGATATAGTTTTTCATTGCTCTTAGACATTCTGCAATTTGAGTTTTTAACAAGTTATTTACGAAAAGTGTGAAATCTCCTGGTAGAAGGTTGAATTTTTTTCATGTTAATTTTTAGTTTTATTGTAATCAAAGAGTGTGGGCCAGCACTATTTCTTACTATTTTACAGTGGAACATAAATCCACTATGTTGCTGTTTTAGTTCAGCTGACCTTTTTTTCATAGAGAGAATTCCTCAGCAAAGGAGCTAATGCACTGATTTACATTCTGGCATAAGTTTCTTAACTAGCTATAGAGCAGTAACAGTTCAGGAATGGCTACTTGACTCGCACTTATACATAGTATCTGTACATTTTAAAATTTATTTTGTGACACAGTCAATTTTTTGTTAAAAATTGCATGCATAGGCTCTTAAAAATGCTATTTTTATAGTGTAGGATTTATCATGTTATTTATATTCTCTATACTCTTACTTTTTGTGCTTTTACCAGTCATCACCAGATAAATGAGTTAAGATCTCCTAGTATAGTTTTTGCAACATAAATATTTTATGCTGTTATTTGATGCATAAAAATTCTCAATTGTGTACTCAACATTATGAGCACATACAGACTAATTTGGCTTCAATGCCAAATACATCACTAATGGTAGGCATGTGTGACAGTGAAGCAGGAAAGCAGACACCTAGTAAATTACTTAAGATGTATTTTTAAATAGTCAAGAGTACAATGCATACTAACATAGGTTTGAATGTAAAATCCCTATTATGAGAGATTTAGCCTATAACTCTTGCCAGAATTGATCAGTGGGAAAAAAACATTTTTATTCAGGAGTAAAAAAGAGTGAAAAATTAGAGGTAGAACAGAGAACATGAAGTTCTACCAACCAAGAAAGCACCCTTACCAAGTTCTTGTCTTTAAGAACTCCTAGATGCTTCTTAAATTATTGACTGAAGAAAAAGAGAAGTGTCTTATAAACATTACAATCTAAATTACTTAATAAAGTCTGTGTACCTTCATTCCCCAAACTTGACTTTTGTTTTTGATCATGAATATCATTCAGTTCAACAAGAGAACAAAGGGAGCCAGACTTTTGAATCCATGAGTGACTTCTAGTTCTGAAAAAAAATGATCAGGATCAAAGGTAACTTGTCGTTAGTGTCTGGTAATCTGCCCTCAAATTAAGCTTCCTCAAAAACTGACAGTAATGTTAAAAGAATTATTAATTACAGAAAATAAACAGAATTTTACTAATATTCCCACCCATGTTGGACCCAGTGGAAATTCCATTATGTTTGTTGCCATTGTGGCCGCAGAATCAGGAAATTCAAAACTTTTCTCTACGAAAATTAAAATGCAACAACTATAAAAGCAAAATTATTTTTCAATTGTAAGACTGATGATGTGTGTTCAAACACTGGTTTCATAATACATTAGTTGACAGTGTATGTAGCAAAAAGTACCTACTGTTATATTAAATGGAAAAGATATACTTTAATGAAAAAAATCTACGTGTATATATATTTAGTGCATCATAAAATTATGTTTATTAAGTAAGTTTATATTTAACATACCTAATATCAGATTTCTCTTGGCCCTCTGATTCTTCCTCATCACTGTTATCAGAAAACTGGCAGTGGATGACTTCATCTTGGTCTTCTATATGACCCAGCAGCATCTGACTTCGTGTTCGGAATCCAGCAACTATGCGATCCAGAGAGTACGCAGCAGGACTTGTGTAGACCTTATAAGTGATTCCCCGACCCAACAACAAAAAGAAGTGATTTTTAAAATGTCTAGTTTTATCCGATTACTCAAAATGTTTTTAACAGGTTACTAGTTACTCTTAAAATATCCAATCATTGAAAGTGTACACGACAACCCCCCCAAAAAAGTCAAAATTCTTTTCACAAAACTATTGTCCTCATGGACACATACATCTTTCAGAATCTACACAGCTCTTCCTCTTCTAGAAAGTTCCTTTATCTTCAACTATAGCTTCATGGAAAATAATATTCAAAAATTAAACCTTAGAGAGGCAGGAATGAAAACTCACTCTTAAAAGAGCATAGGCACTCCCCAATGAACATGAAGTCTACATATAATATAATGGGAGGCAACTGTTTCTCAGCCCACTAGTCATCCCAGTTTTGAACACCTGGAGAATTGTGGCATTGCTGCTAAGGATCTGTATCCCTCTCCAATCCAGATCTACCAGATGGAGAAATCCAGAGCTATCACCACTCCCTCTAAGGCAAAATACTCTCAATTTGGAAATCCAAATACATTTACTCACACTTTACATGTGCTGGTTTGAGATAGCTGAATTAATGCTCTAAGTCAGGGATCCCCAACCCCTGGGCTGCAGACCAGTACTGGACCATGGTCTGTTAGGAGCTGGGTCGCACAGTAGAAGATGAGCAGCAGGTAAGCAAGCAAAGCTTCATCTGTATTTGCGGCCACTCCCCAGCGTTAGCATCACCACATCAGCTCCACCTCAGATCACCAGGCATCAGATTCTCATAGGAGCACTGGTCTCTGGTGCCAAAAAGGTTGGGGACCACTGATCCAAGTAACATATTTAATATGTATCATAGGATATTTAGATGTTCATTTGCTAGCTTCAGAACTTTCTATATTATAACATGCTTCTATTGGCGATGTGCCTTAAGTTCTCAAAAAATTGTTGGAAAACAACAATGAATTAGAAACTGCCTTTTTACTTTTATTCTAGTTTCCATTACCAAATATTTCTTTTCACCACCTCTTTGTAACCATACCTCAGGGTAATTTCTCTCAAAAAAAAAATGTAAATAATAAAATCTTAGAGGAGACATTCAATTTATTAATATAAATCACTAAAAGCTATTAAAATAACAATATACAGTGAAATGCGTACATCACATGGTACTCAAGATTCAATTGCCATGGGTCCCTCATGTACCCTCTCCCAGAAAAGCCTACCTGATTCATTAATATCTGATTTTTGTGCCTCCACTGTTGGTCACCTAATAAGACCATCTGTCCCATTAGCACTATGATGGATAGTGGGTCAAGTTTTCTAGGTGGCCTCCCAATTTCTAGTTTGGAGGAGTGGGGGAGCATTATTTATAAAAGAACCAATTCAAGAAGTATTTATCTAACCAGCACAATGTAGCTAGTATGGCCATTTGCCCCATAACTGATAGGCATCAAGGTTTCTCTTTGTCAGGGGACAGAAATCATCTCAGGAGCAAATAAAGTTTTTTGTTCAGAGTCAAAATTTGTTCTCTGAGATTATAATTTGCTTTTAAAATTTCTTTTTACCAAGTAAACTAAATGACGCAGCTTAATAATGAACACCAAACAAGTTCTGCCACAACGAGTAACATTTAGCAAGTTAATTCTTTTAACAGTCTTTCCACCCAACACAATGATTCTTTGCCCCTTCCAGGCTCACAAAGCCTTCTCTAATCCAGCCCTTTCATATTTAGGTATTCGGTCCTGTTTCCCTCAATTGCTTTGGGATTCCAGAGCTCCCCAATAAGGAATATTTTATCATTTTCAGCCATATCCTAAACAGTGCTGATCACGTATAAGTACTCAAATAAGCTGACTAATGATTCAGATATCTGAGATGTATCCAATTAGAAGCTAATTTTTTTTCTAACCTTTTCCCCCCTAGAATTACACAGCCACAGGGCTAGAGAGAATTTAAGGGTTACTGAGTTCACCTATCCATCCCAGGTTTGACTCTCTCCTGTAATATTGCAAATTATCATTTAACAGCTGTTCAAACACATTCACTGTGGGCATCCCCCTCAGAAAAACTGGGGCCTCTCATAGCACCACTGGCAGTTCCCACTAATTAGTCCCTCTTTCTATTCCCTTAGCACTGTTCACATTGGTCCCAATTTAGAAACAACATATAACAGTAATGATAAACCTTGAATATTTGAAAACCGTAATCATCAGACTAAATATAGAAGTGCTTCAGATTTTCCCCAAAGTCTTTCAGCAGTGTAGTTTTTCTCTGAAAATAATCTAATTTGACTTAAAGTGTGGTACCCAGACTGGAATGTAATATTCTAAATCACCATTAGTACATAGAAACAGACATGGAAAGGCAGCCAAAATGGGAAGACAAAGAAGCAGAAACCATATGACAGAACAGAACAGAGATCCAGATATAATGAAGTCAAGTCATCTAACAGATGCAGAGTTCAAAACACTGGTTATAAAGATGCTCAATGAACTTTTGGGAAATGTAGAGAACTCCAACAAAGAGATAAAAATGGAGATGGCGATAATAAGAGGGAACCAGTCTGAAATGGAGAACACATTATCTGAGATGAGAAATATATTAAATGGAATAAACAAAGTGAATAAAAAAGAGGATCACATGCCCTATCTAGAGGATAGGAAAGCCAATCAGGACACTCGAACAGAAAGGCAAGAAAAAAGAGGCCAAGACTATAAAGATGATTTAAAGAGGATATGGAATACTATTAAGGCTCCAAACATTCGTCTGATCAGTGTAAGTGAAGAAAATCAAGATGTTGAACAGCTGCTTGAAGAAATAATGATGGAAAACTTCCCTAACCTGGTGAAGGAAATGGACATAAAACCCCAAGAAGCTCAGAAATACCAAAAACCAGGGATCCAAAGAGGCCCACAACAAGACACATCATAATTAAAATGCCAAAGGTTATATACAAATAAAAAATTTTAAAAGCAGCAAGAGAAAAACAACTACATATAAGAGAACACCCATACGACTGGAAGCTGATTTCTCAAAAGAGACTGTGCAGAAGGGCTTAGCAAAAAATATGTATTTATCCAAAGAAAACTAAAACAATAATTTGTAAAGATCTATGCACCCCTATATTCATGACAGCACAATTTACAATTGCCAAGAATGGAAACAACTAAATGCCCATCAACAGATGATTGGATAAAGAAGTCATGGTTCATACATATAATGGAATATTACTCAATCATTAAAAAAAAATGAAATCCTACCATTTGCAATGACATGGATGGACCTAGAAGTTGTTCTATTGAGTGAAATAAATCAGACAAAGATAAATACCATATGATTTTACTTATACACAGAATCTAAGAAACAAAAAGAATAATTACTCAAAAACAGACATACAAATATAGAGGACAATCTGGTGATAGCCAGAGGGGAGGGAGGTTGGAAGACTGGGAGAAAGAGATGAAGGGATAAAGAAGTACAAATCAGTTGCTGAATGATGGGTCACTGAGATGGGAAGCAGGGCATAGGGAATGCAGTTAGCATTAATGTAATGGCTAGGTGGAGAGCCAGAGGAGAGAAAGAACAAATAAGGGGATCATTTTATAAAATATATAAATGTCTAACCATTGTACTGTATACTCAAAACTAATAAAATAAAATATTTAAAAATATATAATTCATTCAGGAAAAAAACAAAAAGATTTTACAATATTCCACTTTTGTGAATCTGGAGATTCCAGGTTTTTAAAACATATCCCTTAAGAATGTTTTGTTTGGTTCTCTTAGTATACAGTTATGTCAAGTACTGAAAGCGATATTATGTACTTATTGCTTTTATTTCCCTTTCATGATATCATATTTCATCAAACCTAAAATGCCATCAACTGTGACACACCATTATTTTTATACCACCAAGAAAGAAAAAAAGCTGTCAAACTATGACATGCCATTAACTGTAAAACATATCCTGCCATCAAAGATAAAATGTGAAAAAAAAAAAAAATAGGTGAGTCTTACAATCAATGAAATATAGTAGATTTTCATCAGCACAATTTGTGGTATTATACTAAACCTAAGTAATAACTGGGACCACCTTTGTAAATTTCTCCTTTCCAAAGTGCCTTTTTAGTATGTATTGCACTGGATCTTGGCTTTAATTACATCATATTTACCACATTAAGAAAACAGAAATTTGTTATATTTTTTTTCTTTCAGTTTAAATCAAGATTTGATTTTGCATTTCATCAGATAACTTTTTGGTATTTATTAAGACAAATGAGTTTTTCTCTTTTTTCATATTAATTTGATAAATAATATTAATACCTTTTACTTTATTTACCTGTATACTATTTTGCTGTGAGGGACAATTTCTTTATGATTCCTGCATAAGTAGATATGTACTATAATTCCATTTTGGTGTTCAACTTTTCAGATTAAGAGATAATCAAAAACGAATGTGCAACAATCAGAAAAAGTATACAATGGTATGCCTTTAGGATAAATTTTAATCAGCCATTAAAAATTATATTATAGAAGAATATATAATGACTGTCAAATGCCCATGATATATTGAGAAAAGCTAGTAACAAAAAGTATACATATAAATATAACATAAATAATACTTTTAAAATAAGATCTTTTCACTCTTTTCCTCCAATATGTATAAATAAGCATATGAGAAATAAAATCAGATTCTTTTTATAATCAACTTAAAAATTGATTAAGCTACTTTTCCCCTTCTTCTTTTGAAAGTATTTTCAGTTGAGAAAGTATTTCTCTTAGACTATTTTTACTTCAAGAAAATATTAGAGCTAAACTCAAAAAAAAATATTAGAGCTAGAAAATATAAGCAAGACTTCTGCCAAGAAGACAGAAATCCAGGAGAAAATGAAATGATACTTCAGATGTCCTCTGTGGCTTAATTGTACTAGTTTCAGTATTCAATGAGACCTCTTATAACACTGTAACAGCAAACAGGGCTCGAACAAGGCTTGCTATACAATGTGTCTTTCTGTGCAAGCCTGCCTTTTCATGTCTGCTGCAATAACCAGACCAAACAAGAGAAGTGGCCAGGATTCCTGGACACACAGTAGGCACCAGAGAACTGTCCAAACTGCTGATCGTATATGACCTTTGCATCTTCTTCCTTTTTCCCACTTTTTTAGTGGCTATTAAGGGTTCTTTGGGGATATGGGGAAAAATTTTTAAACAGAACTAAATTAAGAATTTGCCAATTCAAAACAATAACTCTGAAAGTCTTTATTCTAGTCACGTCTGTTTCTTGTCTCTAGTTGTTTTAATCAAACAACTAGAGACAAGAAAAGAAGAGCCTAATTTGCCAATTCAAAACAATAACTCTGAAAGTCTTTATTCTAGTCATGTCTGTTTCAAGTCTAATCAAACAACTAGAGACAAGAAAAGAAGAGCCTAACGGAGCCCATGCAACTCTACCTCCTCAAAGAGTGTCTGTGTGTGTGTGTGTGTGTGTGTGTGTGTGTGTGTGTGTGTGTGAATGTCTAGTAAAAAAGATTAAAGACCAAGAGAGAGAATAAATATGTGTAATTATTGTAATCAGGATAAAAACGAATGTTATTTTTTAAAAATAAAATAATGGACAGAAACAGGAAATTATTTCACATAACTAGCCAATAGTTTTTAAAATTTACATAGAAGACTTGACATATAAGTATTAAGTTGAAATAGTAGATATCAAATTTGAATCATGTGAAGAATTTGTTCTATGAAAATTTACCATGTATTCAACCATAAGAAAAATGTCAATAACTCTACAAAGTAAAACCAAAATTAATAATAACAATGGCTTGAATTTTAAAATTCAACCACTCAAAATTGAAAACCATACTGGTAAGGATAACATCTGTTTAACTCTGAGGCACTGAGCCTAGGACACAGTGGAGGCGCCCATTGACATGTACTTAACGCAGTGCCAGGGACTTTCAGAGTCAGCATCTCATGTAAATCCTCCATCCACCCCCGTGTTTCCACAATCATGACAGATAAGAAATGTACAGGCCTATGTGTGTATGACTAAACCTGGGCTCACACAGGTTTAGTCATACACACATAGGCCTATACAATGGAGCTAGTGTTCACTCCCAGGTCTGCCTGACTACAAACTCTATGAAGCCATGCATATTTCTTACCCTTTGACTGTAACCATCACAGAGATCTCAAACAAATCATTTCCCTTCATAAAAGTAATAAATAGAAACCAAAATTCATGAATATGCTCATTAGTCTTTTCCACAGTGGAGATTACTTGATTTTTCAAGAGGAAACATGTGCATATATTTACTACCCAGACACATATTCATAAATAAAAATTACAACAAAAGTTCATATTGATCTTTACATGGTCTTGATTATGTCAGCTTGGCAAGACTGAGTAATACATAAATGTCATTTGAGAATAATAGGACAGACCAAATAAGTAAAAATAAATACCCTCCAACCTCATCTCAACTTGGTATGGTTAAAGAAAAACAAAAATTCATGAAGATATCAGACTTAGTCATGTCTGAAAATATGACGGCAATGGATAACTTTTCCTCCTTGATGAACACAGACATTATCTTCAACTATTCCTTCCAAATACAACTATACATTCTTCTATTTATTTTCATATTAAAAAGCATAATTAAGAGAAAGAGAATACACAAAAGTCCATGAAACTAAAGAGAAACCAAACTGTACCTGCTGAGACTGTACGAACACATGATATTATATTACATATATTATGTTTTAAATATCAAAATAAGAAAGAGATTAATGTTTAGACTTTACCTTCCTGGCATCTGATCTTGCTGGGACATAAATATAATGCCCCAGGTGAGTATCAAATGGTACAGTATATGGTCTCTTTTCAGGTATCCTGGCATCTGGCCCATCTCCACAAGTTTCCTTAACTGAAGAAGTCATTGACAGGTTAAGTTTTGTTAGTTCTTCATTCAGCTGATCCATAAGAAGTTGTTGTTCTATTATTTTTTCATTCTTTGTAGGAGAGAGATGAGAATTTTAAAATTAGAGAACTTCAGTAAGTATGTAGATAATAATTAAAAATAAATTGTACATTGACCAAAATCACACCTACAAATCACAACTACCTTAACTGTACAATTAAACCTCATTTATCCAAAGACTATCTTTCTGATGTTCACAGTATCTAAGACTGTTCTGATTGGTAAAAACTTTTGAATAGTAAGCAGCAACAAATACAACATAGAGTTAATTACTCGAAAAAATAAAAGCGCCCCATATGCTGATTGGTTGGTTTGCCAACCTGAAGCACTCTGATTAGTTGATCTTTATAAAAGTTTGGACTTTCTGAGTGAAATCCAAGAAGTAAAGAGAGACAAGAAAGCTGAGAAGTGGAGGAAGAGTTACAAATTGCAGAGATGGAAGCAAAGGAGACAGAAAGTGGCAGCAGGTGCAGTGAAGTGAAAGCCTTTACTCTGTGGAAAAGAAATACAAAAGCACAAAGAGATAGAAGATAGGCAATCGATAGTCCTGAGAGAAAGAACTTGGGAATCAAAGGCAGAACAAATTGTATGTCAGGAAGGAGAGGGAGGAGGAGAGGGAGAGAAGAGGGAAGGGGGAGAGTAAGAACCAGAACGGGGTTTAATGTTTTATGTATCCTCTAAAGAAAAAATTTAAAGTACATCCAATTCAGAAAGTTCTAATATCAATCTTTGTTTTGTAAGTGCAAAATTATGTAAACAAGAAATTGTCATTCACCTTAATATTTCACATGTACTACAATGTTTAAATAGGAAAGAAACCCCTAAAGTTTCATTGTTAATGCTGAGCTATAAAAATGCAACCTTATTAAAAAGTCATGCATACAGATAATTGAGATATAAAACAGAATGGCACATAGGTTGAGAGTGGGTGTTAGATGGAATCCTCAGACTGTCTGGGAAAAGGGTAAAAATATCAATTAATATTAGACTTCATTAAGGCAAGGCTGCATGATATACTCTCTAGGATAACCACTAAAAAAAATAGAGTACGACTTCTAAGCTAATGAAGTAAAGATTAAAAACTCACAGTTCAAAAGAAAGTAAGAAAGAACAGAAAAGAGAACACAGAGCAGGTAGAATAAATGAAAAGGACAACAGTGGGATTATAACATAAATAATAGCAAAAACGTTAAATTCAAAAGTGAACTAAGTAATCCAATTAAAAGATAAAGATTGTCAGAGAACATTGTAAAATTAACCTGCTGCTAAAAAACACAACTAAAATGACACAGATTAAAATTAAAATGAGAAGAGAGATACCATGTAAATATTAATCAAAAGAAAGCCGGAATAGCTATGTTCATATCAAAGTAGACTTTAAGGCAGAAACCATTACAAGATTAAAAAAAGAGGTAAAAAGTGATAAAAACATCAACTTACCAGGATGACGCAATAATTCTACATTTCCATGTACTTAATAACACAGCTTCAATATATATAATGCAAAAATTATCAGTATTTCATAGAGAAGTGAGATAAATCCAAAATCATAGTGACAGATTTTAATATCACTCTAAATTACTAACAAAAAGACCCCCCAAAAATGAGTAAAAATATAGTTTTGAATAATAGAATTAAAAGCACTCAATGATTGCAGAATATACATATTTTCAAGAACATCTGTAATATCTATAAAAATTGCCCTCATGCTGAGCCATAAAGCAAATTTAAACACAAAGGACTGAAATCATAGAGACCACAATGCAATTAAGTTAAAAATTAATAAAAAGAAATCATCCATGTGCTTGAAAAAAAATAACTATATAACCCATAGGTCAAAGGAAAATGTCACAATAAAAATTAGGAAAAGTTTTTAGCCAAATGTGGAGAGCAAGTAAAGACAAGCATAGGAGGAAATATATAATTATAAATGCATATATTATAAAATAAGAAAGGCTGAAAACCAATGAACTAAGCATCCACCTAAAGATAGCATAAGATCTGTACCCCCAAAAGCAGGGGTAAATAATAAAGGTAAGGGCAGAAATCAATTAAATAATAAACAAACACATACTAGAGAAGATCAACAAAGTCAAGAACTGCCTCTTTGAAGAGACTAATAAAAGTGACAATCCCCTGGTGAAGATGATCAAGAAAAAAGAGAAGGAACAAATGACCAGGAATGAAAAAGGGGTTATCACTAAACATCTAAATATGTTACAGAGATAAGAGACTAGTATAAACTTATGCCAATAAATATGAAAACTTAGATACAGTGGTCAAATTCTTAGAAAAATAAACTTACAAAAATGGGGGCAAAAAGAAAATATGATTGAATTAAAAATCAAAATGTTCCCACAAAGAAACAGTCCAGTCTCAAATATTTTTCAGGTGAATTCAATATTTAAGGAAGAAATAACACTGCTTTTTCACACAATCTTCCAAAGTATAAAAAAAGAGGGAATTCTACCTAACCTATATTATGAAGGTAACATAACTTGTTACAACATCTGACAAGAATTTTTTGAGAAAGGAAAATATAGGCCAATTCCACAGGTGAATATAGATGCTAAAATCCTAATCAAAATAATAGCAAACCAAATTAAGGCTAACTGTAGAAAAGAGAACATAGCATACCTGACTGCTATATCCTTAGAAAGACCTGCTTACGAGGTTTTCTATTAGGTGGTGTCTGGGAACTTGGATTCTGAGAGGGTTCCCAACACCCTGATATTAATTGTTTGTACAGACAACATGGTCTGTGTCGAACGCCTGCTTTCCTTCTGGAAGTTTGGAATATTTGCACATGCTAGGCAGAGAGGCCTTTATTAACAGCCCTCAATAAAAATTATAGGCACTGTGTCTCCTCTGAGTTTCCCTGGCAGACATTTCACATGTGCTGTCATAATCACTGCTAGAGGAATTAAGCATATCCATGAGACTCTACAGAGAGACAACTCTTAGAAAGTGCACCAGTTTCCTCCAGATTTCGCTCTATGTGCCTCTGCCCTTTGCTGATCATTGCTCTCTTTTCACTGTAATAAATGTCAGCCATGAGCATGACTATATGCTGAGCCCTCCAAGCTGATCATCTAACCAGAGGGTGGTCTTGTGGACCTCCGATAAAACAATACATCATGACCAAAAAAAAAAGGGGGGGGGGGGGTTTATTCCAGGAATACAAGACTGGTTTAAAATTAGAAAAATCAGTATAATCCACATTAACAAAATAAAAGAGAAAATTCATAATAAAGAAAAACAACTCGATAAAATTTAATATGTATTTATAATAAGAATTTTCCTTAGCTTGATAAAGGGTAAATAAAAAATAGTTACAGCAAACATGGTACTTTAGAGCGAAATGTTGAAAGCTTTTCCTCTATTACTGGAAACAAGACAGGATGCTTGCTATCACCACTTGTATTCAACATTTTATTGAAAATCCCAGCCAATGAAGAAAGGTAAGAAAAAGAAATAAAAGGTATAAAAATTATAAAAGAAGAAATAAAACTGTCATCATTTGTGGGTGATGTAATTATAAATGAAAATCAAAATAATTTACATAAATATTAGAATTAAAAAGTGAATTTTAGTCAGGTTGCTGGATATAAAATATCAACACACAAAAATCAATACATTTACACATACCAACAAACTACTAAAAGGAAATTTCAAAAAGATTACATTTAGTGCCATAAAAAAAAAAAATCACGTACCTAAGTTTAACAAAAGATGTGCAATATTTTTACACACACACAAACCATTATTTAGAAAAACCAGGAGGTGGCTCCATAGTGTGTAGTGATTAGCACATCTGCTTTACACACAGAAGGTCTTGGGTTTGCACCCCAGGTGGAGCCATGGACCATATCCCAGGAGTGCCAGGCCCCAAGGGGTGCCAGGCCCCAGGTGCACGAGTGTGTGGGAGGAGACGCCCCGCCTTCAGAGATACAATTCTTAAGTGTAAATGGCAACATCCATAGGTCAGGGGTGGAAGTGAGGGGAGGAGAGGAATTAAAGAGGGGGAAAAAGAAAAGAAAAACCAAAGGAAACCTAAATAAATGGAGGAATATACCATATTCATTGATTAGAAAGAAGACTTATAATCTAAAGATGTCAACTCTTTCCAAGTGGATCTATAGATTTAAAGGAATCCCAACCAAAAATCGCAAAAAGTTTTGTGGGTTTTTTTTGGTGGCCCTTGACAGCTAATTCGAAAATTTATATGGAAAAACCAAGATATTCTTAGAGGTTAGGAGAACAAAGAAGAAGGCCTTGCTCTACCAAATATCTAGACTTATTATAAACCTACAATAAAAAGGAAATGTGTTATTAGCTCATGGATAGGCAGACCAAAAGGATACAACAGAAGTTCCAGAAATAGACAAGAAATTCAGGTATGAATGAACCTTGACTTATGACAAATATAGCACTCAGAACAGTGGTGAAAGGATGGTCTTTTCAATAAATGATGTTGGGACAAATAGATATCTATATGGGAAAAAAATAAAATTTGACTCTTACCCCACAGACAAAAATCAATTCCAGGAATCTTGTAGAGCTAAATGTGAAAGGCAAAACAATAAAGCCTCAAGAAGATAATATAGAAAATATTCTCAAAGGAAAGAACTAGGAAAAGGAAAGCCTTGTTAAATAGAGCACAAACATCATTAACCATAAAGAAAAGATTGTTGAATTTGATTACAATCTATCTTTTCATCAAAAGACATCATTGAGAGTACAAAGCTGCAGAAAGAGAAAAAATACTTGGAGCCATATAACTGACAAAGAGCTCATACCTGGAATATATAACAAATGCCTGCAAATTAATTTAAAACACACAGTCTAATAGAAAAACAAGCAAGAGACTTGAACAAGTACCTCACAAAGAAGATAACCAAATAGCCAAAAAATGTGAACAAGTGCTCACCTTCAACAGTCATCAGGGAAATGCAAATTAAAACCACAATAAAATAACACTTTATACCTACCAGACTGTCTAAAGTTTAAAAATTAACAATAACAAATGTTGGGGTGATCACTTCATTAGTTATATGTGTCTAATCGCTATGTTGTACACCTGAAACTAATATGTCAACTGTAATGGAAAAATTAAAAAATGAATAAAAAAATAACTTATTTTTAATTGCCAAAAAAACATTCCAAGATATAGAATTAGAAAACAGTTTGGTATTATTTACTAAAATTGAAGATTCTCCTACCCTTTGACCTAGGCACAAATCCAAAAGAAATATGTATGCATGTACACCAAGAGACATGTATAAGAAAATTCACGGGAAAAAAATGTCCATGAACAGTAGAATAATTAATTGTGGTACATTTGTACATTGAAATTCTACAGAGCTATAAAACTAAACAAGCTACAGTCACACACAACATGGATGAATCAGAACAAAATGTTCAATAAAAGTAACCAGATACTAAAGCATATATACTGAATGATTAAGTTTATACGAACCTCCCAAACTAAACTGTAGTGTTCAGGGATTCACAGTAAAACCATAAAGCAAAGCAAGGAAATGACTACTGCGAAAGATAAGGAGAGCAGCTCTCTCTGAGGAGCCCCTGGAGGGGCTGACAGTTTGCTATTCCTTGACCTGGTGGTGGTCACAAAGCTGTTCCCTTTGTGATAAATCTCTGAACAACAGTTAGTTTTGTATATGCTTCATGCTTTTAAGTTATTATAGAATTGGAAGGATTAAAAAAGAAAAGAAACCTCAAAATCGAAACCTAACTTTTGTTGGATCAGACTATTTCTCAGGGCATTAGTTGAAACTAAAGGCTTTAAATGAAACAGTTTGGGGCTGGGGGCAGGTTTCATAGCCAGAATGTACAATATTTAGGGGTATACCATGTTAATAACAGAAATGCCAAGATAGGGAATTTGAAAGATTTAACCAAGTGAAAGAGCAAGTCATTAATGAAGTATAAAAGGATAATCTAATGAATTTAAAAGCTTAAAAATTATGTGTTTACCTTCCAATTCTTAAAAATATCGCATTGCCCATTACCTTGACAAACAATGGAAGGGAAAAGTATGAAGAAAAGATAACCATAATATGATTTGCAAATTAAGTTCCTGGGGACTATCTTCATATTTGTGAAATACAAGTCAAGACAATAATAAAAAATGTTTTCCCTTTACACTAATTTAGGGGGAAAACAGTAATAACTCTTTTAGGTGCCTGTGCTTAGAGCTCTTCAACTTAAACTTATTTGTGTAAACATTCTTATTTATCATTTAAAATGCTATTCTGTTTAGTTAGGTACTATTCTAACAAAACCTACAGAGCTAGATATATTAAGAAACTCTACCTGTAATCTATTAACTTTTTGCGCTTCTTTCAAAGATATAACATGTCCTTTGTTTTCCTGTACCATCATTTGCACTTGATTCTTTAGTTCCTTCACCTCCAGTTCCTTCTGATTAAATACTACTTCATCGGCAGCGAGAGCACACTGGAAGGAGGGAAAGAAAGCATGAGAGATTCACCATGGAAAATACTCGAGAGAGCCCGCATAATACCACCAAAGCAGTGATTGAATGACAGCCTGACAATGTCTCTTAAAATTTTTCTTATCCTGTTGTCCATTTTCAACTTTCTTTCTGGTTTCTTTATAATAAAGGTAGAAACAGTTAAGAGGGCCTATCATTACTATAAGAATTAATTACCATAAAGATAGGAAGATTTCCCTGATTTTTATTTCCTACATTTTAAAATGATAACCAGTTATTCAGGTTCTAGAGTATATTTAATATGATTTTTACAAGTTTGCTAGAATTGCCATGAGATTTTAATATGAGTTTTAAAAATCAAAGGTCACATTTTCCAAAGTGACCTATAGGATATAAGAATGCATTTGGATATTTAAAGAATATTGGCCAATTCCGTGCACTTTCACTATGACGAGGTATATTTTGAGGATGTCTGAAAATGTTGTTAAACAAATAGTTTTCTTAGTTCCTAGTGTATTTTCAAATAAATGGGATATTCGAATAATACTTACACAACAATTTCTAAGTTAAACAAACAGAAAGAACATTAACATTTACCCAGGGTTTGCTTTATGTTAGATAATGACTTGGCATTTTAAAAAATATCTCACTGAATAGCTATGTTTTCTTTTTTATGAAGAAATTAAAGCTTAGTAAAGTTAAAAACTTTTCCCAATAAAACACAGTAGATAAACCAAAGTCCTGACATTCAACCCCAGGATCCAAAGTGTAAGCCACCAGAAAAGACAAGAACAAGCAGTTGGTTTACAAAAGGAGTGTCCACTTTACAAATAAGATGTAATGCACAGAAAAGGAGTGCATGCGTTGACTCCTCAGGCAGTGGCGTGGAAGCGGATGGGCCTCTGCACGTGAAACTCGCAGACTGAGGCTAGCCTTGATTTTGCCACAGGCTTACCGAAGGGCTTTGGGCAAGTCCCTTTTTTTCCCTGCTTAGGATCTTCGAATGCCAAAATGAGGAGAGACCACACGACCCTGATGTTCCTTATAACCCTATATATTTATATAACCTCTGTGACTTCTCTCTTCTATAAATAAGATATAATTCTAATTAGTTAACATCATCTTCTATAGGCAATTAATTGTCCACTTGAGAAGCTTATAATTACTCTCCCAGTACTGTGTATTAAATATTTTAACATATTCTTTAAAAATTACAATTTTATTATTTATTTAAAAGATACTTAACTGTTGAATATATTCATGTTCAGTTCCAATAATTGATAAATGGCAAAAATCAAGGTTACATTATCTGACAGCTTTTAAAAAGGAGACAGTAACTTCAAAATGATATTTACTTCCCTAGCAACAATCAGGCTATTATTTCATTTGTGAGATGGCCCACAATCTCATCCTGGCTAGGAATTTTTTAAAGTACGTCTTGCTTCCCTAATAGGCTCAAGGAAGGAGGCTGAGCAAAGAGAATGTTCATGCCTCTCCTCCCACCTGCTATCTCCCTAAGCAGATGAGTTTACCAAGCTGCCTTCACGGTAACCCCTGGCATGTGGCCCTACATATGACTACTGAGTACAATCTCTTACCTGCCACTGATGGATAACCTAGGCACAGGCAGGTGAAAAATAAAAGAGAAGAGATAATAATAAGCTCAACTTTATTGAGCTTTACTATAGGCCAGGCATCCTTCTTATCACCTTATGAGAACTAATGCTTTAATAATCTCCACGACAACCCTACAAGGTGGTTATTGTTGTTTCCATTTTACAGATGGAAAATTGAAGCACTGAGCTGTCAAGCATTTACTCAAGGTCACAGAGCTAGTAAGCAGAGAAACCAGGATTCAAACAATGGGATTTTGGTACCCATGTTCTTAACTACTCTTATGCTGCCTCTCAGAAAACAAGAACAGAAAAGGAAATTTTTTAGAGAGATGTAACAGGGTGAGGAATGACACTTATCCTTTTTCTACTTACTGTTTAGTGGTTTCCAATGATTCTAGTCTACAAGATTGCAGACCAAAAAATGGGAATCCATTTTTAAAAACTGGGAAACACTGAATACTATGTCTTTCACTTTGAGATTTGTAATATACATTAGCACTCTCGAAGTTCTGAGAAGTCTGAGGATTGAGAAACCTGTTTGATTTTTGCAATCTAGCATTCCCCAAAACAATCTTTTCATGGTACCTTTTTCCAACAAGACTGTTAATATCTTTGGGAAATAGTAATCTAGAGTACATAATCTAGAGCAAGTTTCAATTGGGAGTCTTCAACAGATGGAGAAAGTTACTCCAAGTAGTGGGTTTTACTGGCTTCCAATTTCAGCCACCTTAGAAGCATGAAGGAAAAACGCTTCCTTCATGTGTCCCAAAGTGCAAGCTTCCAGTTATACACCAATTTCTTATACCAGTGATGAAGGGACAGACCTGCTCTATCTAGGAAGAAGGAAAGAATTACTTCCTTTAAAAAATATCCATCATTTTAAAAGTATTACCTTAAATGCTTATAGTTAAATATCAAAAGCTTTATAATAGAAAAGTAGTTCTCATAGTATATTCAGTAGAGATGCTTTCAGCATGTCCCTTAGGTCCTTCCAGGGTATCAATCAGGTCAAAACTATTTTCCTAATAATACTAAAACAATATTTGTCTTTTTATCATGTTGACATTTGTAACGATAATACAAAAGCATAGGTGGGTAACTGCTGGCTCCTAGCACAAATAAGGGAAGTGTCACCAAATTGTACTAGTAATCACTGTATTCCTCACTGCCACACAGTCACAGTACAAATGCCAGTTTTAAGAGTATCTTAATGAAGCAATAAAAATTATTTTATTAAATCTCAACCCTTGAGTATGCTTTTTTTAGTATTCTATGTGACAAAATGAGAGGTATGCACAAAATAGTTTTGCTGCATACCAATGGGCAATAGTTGTCTGTGGGGGAAAAATCTTCTGCAATTGTTTGAGCTGAAAGCTGAACTAGCCACTTTTTTCATAAGATACAATTTTTACTCTAAAATAACAAACTATAGTTATTTACACTTGGGTATATTGCAGACAATTTCTTAAAAATGAGAACCATCATTTCAAGGAAAATAACAGTATTTGTTGCAAATGATAAAATTTGAGTTTTGTGCAAAAATTAGAATTTTGGAAAACATTTCTGCTACTCTGAGTGTGACAGTTTCCAAAACTAAAAGATTTTGATGGTGAGATCAGTAGTGATACTAATGGATGTGATTTTTTGATACTGTGTAATGAACTATGTCAACATCTAAAAGAGTTGCATACCTTTGTAAAACAAATGTTTTCCAAATGTCTAATATATAATGATTCCAAATCCTGTGTGGATAAAAATTTCATTCAAGTACAAAATAGGAACCAATGAATTTTAACGTATACACCTTGATGTAACAATACTTGCAAGTAACCTTTAGGAAATACCTACTTGTTGAGTTTTGATATAATTTTAAAGAATATCCACAATTATCTGAAAAAGGCATTAAAATAGTCCTCCTTTCCAACTACAAATCTATATGAGGCTGGATATTCTTCATATACTTCAACTAAAACATACTGTAACAAAATGAATGCTGAAGCAGATATGAAAATCCACCTGTACTCTATTAAACCAGATGTTAAAAAGAAATTTGCAAAAATATAAAACATTTCCACTCATTAAATTTTTTTGTTTTGAAAAATATTTTTCATGAAAAAAAATGTTTACTGTGTATTACCATATAATTGGATTATCACTGTTTTAAACAAATAGTTTAAATTTTTATTTTAATTTTAATATGGTAAATATCAATAGACACAATTGAGAAACTCAATTTTAAGACACCTGCAAACAAAAAGTTCAAGAACTGCTATAACAGAGAATAAAACAATTGGCTTTCCTCTACTACATATAAAAAGGTATTGAGTAAAGATTTCTAATTAGACAACTATGTTTTTAATTATTTTTCTATTTTCAGCTATGTTTTCCTATTTTAAAAAATTGGTGGAACATCTATTTGCCCACCAAATTGCAAATGCCACATAAGTAGAACTAGGTATGTATTGCCCTCCACTATTTCTCCCATGACATATAATCTTCACTTGATAAATGTTTTTTGAATGAAAAGTGAGGAAATGTAACTATGAACTCAATAGCTGTATATGAAATATGTACACATGTACATACTTATTTTCTTACATATTATCACATATGATGATTTGTTTAAAAAAATCAATACTTCAAACTCAAAGGATGAAGTATTTTTTTTCCTCCAAGAATCACGGACCACAGAAGGATGAAAACTCAATAAAGCATAATTTAATTTTGTTTCTGAAATTGTATTTCTTTTCATCCTCTAAATTTAACAACCAGGTCCACAAGATTCCACTTAGTAAATATAACAAATTAAAATACATGTTGCAGAAGAAAAGAGGAGCCAAGAAAGGTATCAATTATGAGGAAAAAGCAACTGGAAAAAGGAGAAAGACCAAGAGTAAAGGCAAATGAGATTTTACACATAACCTTTTTAAAAACTTCTGGAGTTCCAAAATGACTCTCACTTGCCCAAATAAATTTAGCCCTTAAACAAGTTACTTATAAAAACAGAGTCTAAGTACCTGGCATTTCTTCAGCTCTCGTTTCAGCTGGAAAACTGTGCTACGCTGTGGTCCTTCTTCCAAATTTCCCATGCCCCGGCTTCCTCTGAACGAAGTGAGAATGGCCTTCCTGACCTCCTGGGTCATATTAAGCCACTCTTGCAGTTTGTGCTGCTGCTTCTGATTTAGTCTGACAGCATCTTTTAACTCCACCAGGAAGGTGAAGGCTTCCTCGATACAGTTTTGGTAACCCAGACATTCTCCTTGGAGCTGAGCTACTTGCTCCTCAAGACAATGGATCTTATTTTTATCAGGAGTCCCCTCTCGATGGATCTGGCTGCTTTGGCTGATACTACTAGCCTGCTGGCTTTGCAAAGCCTCTCGAAGCAACTTAATCTCAAATTCCATTTCGTCCATCCGATCTGACTCCGGGCTGAAGTTTAAGGTGGGTTTGTTTCTGATGTTGCGTGCTCTGTTGGCGTACTTGAGAGAATTTAAAGATTCGTCAAAATCCGAGGAGGATGGGCTGACACAAGTGATCATGACAGTCTTGGCACTGCCTCCCAGGGAATCTTTAAGTAGTCGGGTAATTTTAGCATCCCTATACGGAATATGTGAACTCTTCCTGCGTGGGTCCCCAAGAGCACTTATTACGTTTCCTAAAGCCAGCAACCCACTATTGATTTGAATGGATTCTTTGAACCGTTCACCAGTGTTACCCGTTTTGGTTACTCTTTCTGATCCAGCCAAATCTACAAAGTGGAACTTTGAGACAATACGTCGATGGGAACACCATGATCCATCTTCAACTGTCTCTGTATTTTTCTCAACTTGACAAATGCTGATTGTAAAAATTGCATGTGACCTACTGGAGTGTTCGTTCATTTGGGTGGTACCTGTATGCCTGGCTGCATTCCCCATCTCCAAGAAGCTCATCACTTCATCTGCACTCTCCACCTGGCACTCCTTGGCCCCAACAATCACTTAAAACAGCAAGTTTTTAAATCAAGTTTTAATCAGAATCTGGTATAGTTAAGGTAACCACCCAACAGTTATCATTTTCTAGATAGCCCAGCTAAGACAGCCACTTAAAAAAAAAATCAATAGTATTTCAAACAACAGTAACAACAGCAACATTAAATAATTTTATGTAATCTCTCAAAGGAACTATTTTAAGAGACAGCACTCCTTTTGATGTTTAAATTCAAAAAGATATAATACTGTATATATTTTTCAAATAATCTGGTTTCTTTGGAGTCATATATCATACTCAATTCTTTAAAATAGCTGATAAAATAAAAACTCTTTATTACAGTATTTGATTAGTAGAGTCTAATAGATTAAATGATAATAAATTAAATATATAACTCAAAAGAATTAATCAGTAGTAGATTAATTTTTAAAAATTAATTTCCTTGGAGTTTTGCTACTACATTCAGGCCACCCTTACGTTTAAGGTTTTGGTATTGTTGAAGTCACAATCAATGACAAGTGAAAATTTCAGTATAAAATTGGTTATTCATTTTTAAATCAGGTATGCCCTACATTAATATCAGAGTGCAAGATAAACAAATGAGATGGCAATTCGAAACAAGCAAAAAAGTTTCTATTTCAACAGCAGAATAAGAACCAAAACATAACCTAAGCTTACTACTACCTACATTATTTGTCTATTTCCAAAAACATTTCAAAAAGGAGTAAGTGGATTTGGGATTTGAATAAGAGCACTAAAGCCTCCTGATATGTGCTCAAATTACATTTTTGTACTTTCTTTTTAATCTGATCCTGTCACGCCACTGTTTCTTTGAAAAATAGTCATTTTGCTTACATTATTTCCATGACACTTTTTAACAACCTGATTCATGTAAAGTTCTAAAGTACCCATACTACAGACAGTACTAAAATATCAGCAATTATAAAATATAACAATGTAACTGTAAATCATAGTATAACTTTCATAAAATTTTCCTAATGTTAGGCTATAACTTAGTACTATCTATGGTTCTCGAACCCAGCTGCAGATCACCTGGGAGTTTTATAAAAAAGAAAGTACCAATGCCCAGGGCACATCCAAGACTAATTCATCAGATTCTCTGAAAAGTGGGGCCCAGAAACTAATATTTTTTAAAAGCTTCAAAGGTGATGCTAATTGTGCCGCATCCAGGTTGGGTACCAACTACTGCTTCAAACAAAGGAACTAAATAAATATGTCAAATAAATGTATTTTGGTTGTGAGTGGGACATTTTGTAAAATACATGACAATTTGTCTTAAGACAATTTGTTACATCTTTCCAAAATTTTTGCAGGACTGGTATCAGCTATAGAATATTTTGATCATTGAGTTTATCAGGAGTGACAGTGTATACATCTTAATTGTGAGACTATTTTACAATAAACATGTATTATTTTTGTAACTTTTAATAAAAGATAAAAACGCTCAATAATTACATTTCCTAAGATACAGAAGCTGAAAACGTTATTCTAAATTCTGTCCAGAAAAAAAATAAACTGTACTGAATTATCTAATAATTCCATAAACTATTATGTACACTTTCTTTCTAAAAGACGAGACAAAAACAATTTCTTCAAACCTCCAGGAATTCCAGGGCTGCCAGGGCAGGGCTTATAAGGAGGCAAGCTTTACTGCCCCCTGCAGGCTACTGTTTGAATGACGACAGTCATTACTCTTCCTGACTGCTAGGAAAGTCCCCCAGGGAGTCACTCCTCTGGCAGGATCCTTTCTCTCTTGGAAGGTTCTACTAAACGTATTTTCTAGGAGAGGAAGACATCCTAAAAACAGTCATTGTTATTAATAATAGTGAAAATATGGAAACAGCCTAAATGTCCAACAATGGAACGAAATACTAGTTAAATTACCATTATACATTCAGAAGATAAATTACCACATGACCATGAAGAGTCATAAGTTTGAAAAATATTTAATGACATGTGAAAATGCTCACAATATAAATATTAAGTGAAAAAATAAGATGTAATACTATATGTGGGGTCACAAGTATATATTTTTTAAAAAATTATATGTGCACAGAAAAAGAAATCTGGAAGGAAACACGCCAAAAAGAGAAGTTGCTACTTATGGGTTTTGGGATTAAAGATGATCTTTAACTTTCTTCCTCATATTTTTCTATGTTTTCAAAATGTTCTATGGTGAACACATTACCTTTCAAATCAGAAAAGCAGAGTGCTACTCTTAAAAATACTTGCATTTTGACCCAGCCCTTCTAACCTTCTCCCATTTCCAAACAAATGGATATTTAATGAGATTAATGGTTGCTAGCACAGAAAGTCAAACCTTGAGAGTACAATACAGGACAGGTAAATGTCAAAATGGAGCAGCAAATACATAAACTTTCTACAGTAAAAAAAAAAAAAAAAGGAAGCAACAGGTGTGCTGGAACGAAAATCAAAGAAAAAAGGACAGTTTTGGATCAACCTGGACGAACACCAAAGGGAGCAGCTATCCTCAACCTAGGGGTAATTGGGAGGGGGAAAAAAAAAAGTAGAAAAACTAATTTAGACTATCTCACAGTCTCACTTAAGGTCAGCCTGGTGGGGAGAGGGGGTGATTTACAGGAAATAAGTACTATCTTGAATTATAACAATAATTTCATCTTATCGACCAGTTGAACTTCTACTTTTTACCTGGGTGACTTAACTGATATTGGTAATCAATAAGCTATTCAATTTTAAAGTAAAAACAAATTCATTTTGTTTCTATGTCTGTTTTTAAAGATTCTCTGGAATGTATCCAGAAACTGAATTAAATCATATCTATTTGCTAAAGAAGGCTATCAATTAAGTAGGTTACTTTACCTGTGTTTCCTTTTTCATCTTCTCGTATGTGAAGGTCCTTCATAGATGTCTCCAATTCTAAAAGATCTCTTAAGTCTTCTTTATATACTTCTATATAAGACACTTTTATTGTAAAGTCAATGCTAAGGTTTTCAGAGATGTTTTGAAATATTTCTTGGATAGCTCTAGGAATAATACCCTTTTGACCTTCCGCAACTGAGGCTGAAAATTTAGAAAGAGAAAACACATATGAAACTTAAAATAAAAGAACAGCATAAAATTTACAATCAATAAATTTATTTTCTTACAATTCTCTATAATTTTTAAACCATAACTATGAAATTCATAGGTAAAGGTTTTCACAGTCATGCCCTTACTCAAAATTCATTCATTCATTCATTCATTCATTCAACAACAGGCAGTATTCTAGGACCCTGAGAACCATTAATGAACAAAACAGAAGGAAAAAAACGTGCCCTTGCAGGACTGTGCTGAGGGAAGAAGACAATGGCAAGTAATAATAATAATAATAATAATAATAATAATGTGAATTAAATGGTATATTAAAAGTGATAGGTATACCCAGATTTTAAAAAATCAGCAAGGTAGGGGGACTGGAAATGTAAGTGTATTTCAGTGGCAGGTGCTTGCAACTTTAAGTAGGAAAGTCATGATGGGCATCACTGAGAAGCTGACATTTGAACAAAGACTTGAAAGAGCCATGTAGGTAACTGAGGGAAGAGTGCCCAGGCAGAGAGAACGGCAGTACAAAGGTGCTAAACTGGTGTGATCCATCAACAAGGAGGCCAGTAGAGAGCAAAGGGAGTGACAGGGAATGAGGTCAGAGAGGTGACAGAAACTAGAGCATTTAAGTCCTTGTAGATCACAGTAGACTTTAGGTTTTATTCTGAGTGAGATGAGAGCCACTGGAGAGCGGTAACTTGAGATTTATGACCACTCTGGCTACTGTGTTTTGCATTATACCACACAAGGGGAGGGGTGGATGTAGAGATACTTAGAAGGACAATGCAGTAATCTGAGAGTCAAGAGGGTTGGGAGATATACATAATGGTGGCTCATAGCAGGATGGTAACAAGGAAAGGGTGAGAAGTGACCAGATTCTGGATTTATGTTGAAGGGAGTGCCACTTAGATTCCCTGACAGACTGGAATGTGAGAGAAAGCAATGAGTCAAGGATGACTCCAAAATTTTGTCTTGAGCCACTGGAGTTGCCATCAACTGATATGGGGAAGAGTAGCTGGTTTGAGAGGAAAATGGCAGAAGTTCATTTCTTTGACCAATTAAGCTTGAGATGTCTGTTACTATCCAATCGAGATGTTTTGGCACCCAATTGGAAAGACTGAATAGGCAGTTGGATATATGAGTCCAGAGTTCAAGACAGTAGTCAGGACTGGAGATAAAAGAAAAATTACAAGTCAGTTACATACAGATGGTATTTAATGTCATGAGACTGGATGAGGTCAAGGGGAAAAGTAGATTCTGAAGACTCTATATACCTCTTCTCCTCCATCACTGCCTCTTCTCCTCTATCACTTCCACAACCCAGAACACAGATCAGTACAATAACATTATGAACAAAAATATGTACGAGGGACTCAGATACTTATACACCAATGTCCATAGCAGCATCATTCACAATAGCCAAAAAAAGGAAACAACTCAAGTGTCCATCAACAGAGGAATGGTGACACATAGATACAACGGAATATTATTCGGTCATAAAAAGGAATGAAGTTCTGATACATGCTACAAGGAGGATGCCCTTCGATACATTAAGGTAAGTGAAAGAATCCAGACATAGGAGGTCAAATATTGTATGATTCACTTCTATAAAATATCTAGAAGAAAATTCATAAAACAAGAAAGTAAATTAGAAGGTACCAGGGGATGGGGGAGGAGGAGTTACTTCTTAATGGATACAAAGCTTCTATTTGGGGTGATGGAAAACAGTGGTGCCAGTTGCAAAATACTGAATGTAATGTCAGAGAACTACACTCTTAAAAATGGTTAAAAAGGTAAATTTCATTTTATGTATTTTATGGCAATAAGTAAATGGTTAAAATAGCAAATTTTATGTTATATATATTTTTGCCACAGCTTTAAAAATAGTAAAAAAAAAAAAAAAGGTACAAGATAAAATTTAAAATAAGTGAAAGAATTGGGATTTAAGGTTAAGTTTCTGTAGACCAATTTAGAAACCTGCCCACCATTTTTCGCATTGATCCATTAAAAATATATTCCAAGCTACAAAATGCTGGCTTACAAATGAATCTTAAAAACAATTTCCTTCCAAGTTGAAGATTACCAATGTTTAGATTTTTGGCAACT